TAAACTATTGGGTAGTACTGCATACCTATCTATTTATACGATTATACCCTTTTCACTCTCCATTAGAATATAATGTGAGACAAATACCCTACCCTTGTAACACTAGGCTACAAGGTTACAATTTAGGACAATTAAAGTTTTTGCAATTAGTGGCTTTTTCTATATAAAAACTGTTGTGCAATAAATGCAGTTTTAGTATTTATGAAAATAAAATAATAAATGCAGTTTTAGTGCGACCATTTATTTTCGTTCTAAATAGCATATTTTGGAACGAATTTTGGGTCATCTCTATAAATGTCATCATGACAGATTCTGTGTTTAATGCAATACTGTAATGAGAATTGCTATTGATGTAGTACTCAAAAATAAAAATTGGATTATAGTATTATTTACCACTATTGAAAAAGATCTGAGCCACACAGCAGAGTTATGATTTTATTTCAGAGGAAGTACAATTTATTTATTGAGAAAAAAAAATCAACAAATATAAAAAATATAATTTTTTTAAATCGAAAGACAAAAAAAAAAAAAAAAAAAAATAGTTGTAAAATAATATGCTAAATAAGTATTGTAAAAAAAATATATTTACAAATATAAGAATTAAATTATTGATTAATAATATTTTAATTAATTACAATCACAGATGTCATCGATAAAAAGAAAAAATGGAACAATACATAATTATACATAAGTGAAAAAAGAAATTTTTTGAAAAAAGAAACAAAATCAGAAAAGGAAAAACATATGGTGTACTTGAAGAAGGGGATGCATGTAATTTAAAAAAGAAAAAAAAGAAATTAGAGGAGTTTGAAAATTTTAGGAGGGGCACTATTTTAAATTATTATATAAATATACGTATATAACAAAAATATATATCTATGTATAGTAGGTTGGAGTAAGAGTAGGAGGACACGTGCCGCTCTGAGCCTTAATTGACTCCGCCGCTGTGAGCCACTGCATAAGGCTGAGATTAACCTAGCATTGAAACCCAGAAATGAGTCCCTGTCTTGCACCTTGCACCTTGCACCTTGCACCAAAAGGTTACTTGTTTGGTGTATGTGCACCTCACTCACAAAAGAAAAAAGAAAAGAAAAAAGTGAACCCTTCTAATGGGTTCATCATTACCGTGAGAGGTGGACTATCCACTGGAGATATACTTACAAATATTAGTAGCAGTAAAAATTAGCTTAGTTGACTACTAACATAGTAACATGGGCAAAACGAGTGCCCCATTCATGAGAGATCTTGCACACATATAATGCTAAAGGGAATTTCGATTACAACAAATATAAGGGAAGCCCACCTCTCACGGCTGTTGTGGTTTCAAAATATAAATGGCCAACTTTGATAAGACCAACAAGGCTGTTGTGGTTTCGGCACTTGGAAGCTCTAATGCTGGCAACATTGCTCTTCCTAAGAACTTTATTGGCTCTAGCATTCCAGATGAAGTTCTCACCAAGGCCTTCAGGATATCAGCTGATACTGTTCAACAACTTAAGAATGGTCAGAACTAATCAAATCACATGCATCATGTTACTTGGTATATACACATGGATGTAAAAATGAAAATGGAGAATCTTATTAATTAACAATAAGGTTTTCCTTTTTAATGAATCAATATGTAATGAAAATGGTTTATGTATCTAGTTCTAGAGCCGTTTATTTAGAAATTATTGCCCGATTAAGCTTTAGACCTTGATTATGCCTCGCATGAACCTTTATTGTCCCCTTATTATTATGCAGAAAAGAAAAATGACCCTATAATAATATTTTATAGGTAAAAATTTAGATAATATATTTATAACATATAATTATTAATTCTAGACTCTAACCATGATAATTTATATTTATAACTAATGAATTATTGGACCCAAATCTTTAAAGTTATTGAATAGAACATTTTAATTCATATTCAATTATTAAATTGGATTTAAGTTCAAAATTGATGCATTGACAAGTTCAATTCTGATGGTAAATTTTAATAATACTAGTAATCAAGTGCGTCCACGACCCAAACGTGCCACAGCGCCACAGCAACAGCGCTATTAAGGCATTGACCCTGAAGCCTAAACGACAATAGTGTCCGTGGAAAGTAAAGCGTTTCCTTGCGTCTCAGAAACGCTCCTTGGCAATACCCATCTCTCTTCCTTGGAAAATCCCTAAAACTGCCTTCCCATCTTCCTTTTTTTTTCCCTCTAAAAATTCTCTCTCCTCTCTTTTTGCATTCTCTGCTCTGTTTCATCACCATAAACCCTACAGTCACCACGTCTATAATTCTTCATCTTATTCGTCCAACAATGCTAATTTGAAACAGTTTGGGCTTTTTCTTCATCAACCAACACTGAAAAATATAGGTATGCTTTAATCTGCTTTCACTTACATACATAAATAAATATATATACCTATTGACGAAATTTGATTTTTTCATTGAAATGCAGCTAAATATTTTTGGCAATGCATTGATGAATGGATGTTTAAGCGATTCATCTTTAAAAAAACTTGGAAAACTCTGGTGTAGGTGATGTTAGCTTATTAGATTCGTAATTCTTATTTTATGAATTCTGGTAAGAAACTCAGGATAGAGCTCGTAATAGCTAAATGGAAAGTGGTAGTACTGTAATCTGAGGATGATAGATGGGTTCGGATTACATTTCAAAGTAAGAATGCGGGTTTCGGATATTGAGAGCGCCACTTTGTGCAAATAATACAAAGGTTTGGTTTGTGTCCACTGTCCAGTCTGCCCCTCCCAGCACCCAGAGTATTTTCCTATTCTTTTAGAACCTTTTTATAGTTTTAGAATGATTATTAATCATATTGAAAGCATCCGGATGGGTTTTGGAGGGGCTAGAAACCAACTTGTACTAGAAATTGCATGTTTTTCGTTCTTGGAAGAGAATCATCAATATATGGCTTTGAGCATCTGTATGTAACATTCTAGATGGCTTTGCATGAATGAATGGATTTTCTGCATTGGTAACTCTCTGGTTGCTTAAACATCTATACTTAGTCACTACTCAATGGTTCATGCACATGGTTTGACTTTAGGGGCTTAGTTGAAGGGTCACACAATGTCCAATTTAAGAAAATTTTATATTGCTATAAAGCCTATTGAGTATGTTTCTTGGAATTATAAGGTTTATCAGAGACTTCGGTAGATAGGCAAATTTCCGACCACAACGATTCCTTATATGGGTATCTATTATAAGTCCGTCTAATTGATCTAGTCCGACTAAAGTACATTTTTGCACTTGGAAACTGATAAGTCTATTAAGGGTCAATTAGCAATTTATAAATCATCTATATGATTAATCAATCAATCTAAACCTATGGTCTTCTTGGTGAATTACCTTTCCTAACTCGTGTGATTGTTGAAGCTGGAAGAAATATGTCAATGCGATCTTGGTTCGCTCTTCAATCCTTTCAATCACAACTACAATGTCAATGACAATTCAACCGATGATGTGACTTAATCCAGATGCCTAAACTAAGAATTTTGTTTACATAATATGTGAGAACAGACAAATAGGCCTTTCACACACAGTTACAATTAGTAGCCTTCCATCTCAGTCAGATTAAACACCACCTTCTATTTCAGGAGCTGGCGATAGTGGCTGCAATCATCAGTGGTTAATTAAAACAACCAATCTCAATATCATTGGTTTAGATTGAATTTGTATTCAAAATCGCTTTGACTTATTTCTTTACCTTATAATAATCTATAAACTTACATATTCATGAACAAATGCAACTCTGTACAAATTTATGTGTATGAATATTTATTATGAACACATGCGAACTTGTACAAGTTTAGTATTCATTAGTTTGCCATCTGCACCAACTAGCCAAGCCAAAAAAAAATTCGAAAACAACTCAAAATTGAAGTTAAACTCAACCCATTAACTCAATGAATGAATTCGTACCGAACTTTAAACAAACCAATCCCCAACTCTTCAAGAACAACCCACTCATTTGCAGCAATTAAATTTGTGAGGCTTTCCTACTTGTTCCCTTGACCTTTACATCAAATATGCATCTTGAGACGTTTTAAGTTTTTTTGTGTTAGTGGTCCCCTGATATATATATATATATACACACACACGCGCGTTATATTCTTTTCAAACTATGATATAATAATATAACACAAAATGACGAGATCCATTTTATAAAATTTAAATAATTTTATCAAGTTTCAATCACATTTTCTATTAAGTAGGACCAAATAATTTCAGATTCCCAATCTTGCAAATGCTATTGTTTGTCACATGTATACACCCTATCCCAATTTTAGGCGACAAGACCATAACCATAGCCATAGTTCATGGTTGACGTTATAGACATCCCTACCACACTTATCCACAGGTACCAAAGTCAAAAAAAAAAAAAAAGGACTGTTGCACATGATTGTGGGTTCAACACTCGCCCATTCTTTTATTCGTCACCAAATAAAATGTTGGCATCAACTTGGAAAACGAAACCCTACATGGACATTAGGATTGAGAACATTTTGACCACTCATAACTACTTCATTTGTCCATTTTCAGTTATAGGCAGGACAAAAAGCCAAGCACGCATTACTACGCCCTAGTGTAGTGTTCTGTGTTCCCTACAGTGCTATCATTTGTTTAATTGCCCGATTAAGCTTTAGACCTTGATTATGCCTCGCATGAACCTTTATTGTCCCCTTATTATTATGCAGAAAAGAAAAATGACCCTATAATAATATTTTATAGGTAAAAATTTAGATAATATATTTATAACATATAATTATTAATTCTAGACTCTAACCATGATAATTTATATTTATAACTAATGAATTATTGGACTCAAATCTTTAAAGTTATTGAATAGAACATTTTAATTCATATTCAATTATTAAATTGGATTTAAGTTCAAAATTGATGCATTGACAAGTTCAATTCTGATGGTAAATTTTAATAATACTAGTAATCAAGTGCGTCCACGACCCAAACGTGCCACAGCGCCACAGCAACAGCACTATTAAGGCATTGACCCGGAAGTAAAGCGTTTCCTTGCGGTCTCAGAAACGCTCCTTGGCAATACCCATCTCTCTTCCTTGGAAAATCCCTAAAACTGCCTTCCCATCTTCCTTTTTTTTCCCTCTAAAAATTCTCTCTCCTCTCTTTTTGCGTTCTCTGCTCTGTTTCATCACCATAAACCCTACAGTCACCACGTCTATAGTTCTTCATCTTATTCGTCCAACAATGCTAATTTGAAACAGTTGGGCTTTTTCTTCATCAACCAACACTGAAAAATATAGGTATGCTTTAATCTGCTTTCACTTACATACATAAATAAATATATATACCTATTGACGAAATTTGATTTTTTCATTGAAATGCAGCTAAATATTTTTGGCAATGCATTGATGAATGGATGTTTAAGCGATTCATCTTTAAAAAAACTTGGAAAACTCTGATGTAGGTGATGTTAGCTTATTTGATTCGTAATTCTTATTTTATGTAATTCTGGTAAGAAACTCAGGATAGAGCTCGTAATAGCTAAATGGAAAGTGGTAGTACTGTAATCTGAGGATGATAGATGGGTTCGGATTACATTTCAAAGTAAGAATGCGGGTTTCGGATATTGAGAGCGCCACTTTGTGCAAATAATACAAAGGTTTGGTTTGTGTCCACTGTCCAGTCTGCCCCTCCCAACACCCAGAGTATTTTCCTATTCTTTTAGAACCTTTTTATAGTTTTAGAATGATTATTAATCATATTGAAAGCATCCGGATGGGTTTTGGAGGGGCTAGAAACCAACTTGTACTAGAAATTGCATGTTTTTCGTTCTAGGAAGAGAATCATCAATATATGGCTTTGAGCATCTGTATGTAACATTCTAGATGGCTTTGCATGAATGGATGGATTTTCTGCATTGGTAACTGTCTGGTTGCTTAAACATCTATACTTAGTCACTACTCAATGGTTCATGCACATGGTTTGACTTTAGGGGCTTAGTTGAAGGGTCACACAATGTCCAATTTAAGAAAATTTTATATTGCTATAAGGCCTATTGAGTATGTTTCTTGGAATTATAAGGTTTATCAGAGACTTCGGTAGATAGGCAAATTTCCGACCACAACGATTCCTTATATGGGTATCTATTATAAGTCCGTCTAATTGATCTAGTCCGACTAAAGTACATTTTTGCAATTGAAATCACTTTATAGCTCATCCTGGAAACTGATAAGTCTATTAAGGGTCAATTAGCAATTTATAAATCATCTATATGATTAATCAATCAATCTAAACCTATGGTCTTCTTGGTGAATTACCGTTCCTAACTCGTGTGATTGTTGAAGCTGGAAGAAATATGTCAATGCGATCTTGGTTCGCTCTTCAATCCTTTCAATCACAACTACAATGTCAATGACAATTCAACCGATGATGTGACTTAATCCAGATGCCTAAACTAAGAGTTTTGTTTACATAATATGCGAGAACAGACAAATAGGCCTTTCACACACAGTTACAATTAGTAGCCTTCCATCTCAGTCAGATTAAACACCACCTTCTACGTGTGCGTACATGTGTTCAGGAGCTGGCGATAGTGGCTGCAATCATCAGTGGCTAATTTGAACTGGATTTATTTATTTTAGCTAATGTTAGCAATTTAGCTGCATCTATCCTGTATTAAGATTTTTGAGGAAATTATCAAGAATAACTAGTGTGTCTAGTTTAGATAACTTGAAAAATGGCTAGAACTGAAATGTTGAGACTTGATAAGTAATGAAAGATTCCATATTCATAAATATTTGCCAGGAAAAAGGTAATTAGTTAACACATTAACTTAGCTTAGTAATGGAAGATTCAGACTGAGAAACAGATTGGGAAATAGAGGAAGGTTGGGTAGATCATGAGCGAAGGTTCAGAAATGAGACAAGGAGAAATCATTTTTTCTTTCTTTTTGATTGATTGTTGGATTGATACGGACTGATGCAGTATAGTGCTATATTTATTTTCTCTCACCTTTTGTTCATTCTCTCATTGTCTCACATGTGCAACATGTGCCTCGGCTTGTGTATACTGTATACACACATGCAATCAACTCTTTGAAGTTATCATTATTGTTCTCAACTTGGTTTCACTCTGAAGTGTGTTTGTTTACCCATATGTATCTGTAAGTTATGTTTTATTTTTTCTCTTGTCTAGGTTTCACTCTGAACTTCTTATGATGGAAGTTCAGGATCCCAGTGACCACACTGAAAAAAATAATATGCTTCCACCACCTGTTGGGATCTTTAAGACTCGTGAAGACCTTCTCAAACATGTCCGGGACTTTGCTCTGACACAAGGATACATGGTATCAATTAAGGATTCTTCAAAGGATAGGTATGTGACCATTGCTTGTGATAGGAGTGGTGTTTATCGCAAAAGGCTTAAGACAGAAGAAAACCTGCGTCAAAGGAAAACACCTTCTCGGCTTACAAATTGTCCTTTTGAAGTCGTAGGCAAAAAGGATGATGACTTGTGGACACTAAACATTAAAAACGGAGAACACAATCACGAGCCTTCAAAAGATACCTCTGACCACCCTTCATGCCGCCGTTTTACAGAAGAAGAGGTCCTTATAATAAGGGAAATGACTGCAGCAGGTAAAAGGCCACGGCAGATTCTCAAGGTACTAAGGCAAAGGAATCCACATCTAGTATCAGATTCGAGAAATGTTTATAACATTAAAGCTAAGATCCGTAGAGAGATATTATCAGGTCAGGCGCATTTTAGTTTTCTTATTCTTTTTCTCTTTTTCCCTTCCCCTATTTCAATTTTAAATAGGCAGTGCGCATATTTTGGCATCTGTGTTGAAGATGAAGTTCTAGAAACAAACTGCCTATACATTTTTTTAGTATTCAGGAAGCACGGACACTTCTTTAGAGGGGTGCTGTGGTTTTGGGGGACATGAGTTCGTAATGGACTAGCATTGGACACGTGTCTGATGCGACTAGAAGTGTCTTGGAATTTAAATATTTGTTTTTCTTGGTTGGAGACGGCTGAGACATGTCATGGAGATGGCAGGGACACTTTCAGGACACGACAGGTTAATTTTGCAATTATTTTTACAGGAAAAAAAATGATTTCAATGAAATTTTAAGACATATTATGAGTTAATTAGAAAAATAATATTAAGTTTTAGAAAACAGAAACAACACACATCTAGTTTTAAGCTCCAAATTAGTGATTGCATTTATGATAATATGGATAAAATGAGCAAAAATTGTTTTTTTGTATATATAATAATATATTTATATTATTATTTTTTTTGGCGTATCCTTGCTGTGTCCATGTTCTATTTTTATTTTTTATTTTAAGATTTGATGTATCACTATATCTGTTTCGCGTTGTACTTGTGTTGCATATCAGCACTTCATACGTTAGCGTAAATGACACTGTTTTGTGCCATTCAGACATTATTTCAGAAATGGAAAGGCGCTATCTGTAATGGATCAAAATTGTAACTTGCGCTGCTGGAAAGGAATTTGCAATTCAATTTGTTTTAAATTATCTAAATTAAATGCGGCTCACAATGGAAGAACACATAATTTAGAGTCTTACTGGTCAATTAACTTTAAATTGGAGGCTCGTGCACTAGGTTTGCCCTTTTTTACTCTTAGGCTCCATTTGTTTGAGCGTAAAATATTTTACGGAAAATATTTTCTGTGTTTTCTGGCGTTTGGTTGTCCTAAAATATTTACGAAAGAAAAAAATATTTAAACCTAACAAAAATAACTTATTCATCAATTTTCGGTAAGCTATTTTACACGCCCCACCTGATGGACTTGACCTCAACCTCGCCTAAACCTTTGCCAAACACTGAAAAATAAAAATAAAAGAAAATATTTTACCTGAAAAAGGAAAATATTTTACGTCAAAACAAACGGAGCCTTAATCATATTAATCTTCTTTCTAGTGCATAAAAAATAAAATAAATGCCTCAACCAGATGTTCTGCTTGCTCTATTGAAAGAGACTGTTATGGTGTCTGTTTCTACAACTAATTAGCATGATATGGCTCTTTACTCATTTTGGTCACTGATTAGTTGGTTCATATAGCTAGCAAATTGAGAATAGCCATTTCGATTTCAATTCCTCCCCAAGTTCCCATTGGTTTTCCCAGCATATAAATGATGCATTTTGTTGATTTGAATTCATGTTATTTAAATTAGTCACTACCATTCCTGAACTTTCTCTATATATTTATCCAAATCTGTGCGTGGGTGTATGTAGAGTGAGAGATAGAACCACGGTTAATAGGGAAAGACTGTATCATTGTATTTTAACATAGTATATGCAAATCTATAAATTTAACTTGTAATTTAAATAGGATATATGTGACGCTGTTGCAATTGGAACCATCACCACATGGCTACCATCAAACTTTTGCCGCACTTTGTTGTTAGTTCTACCCAAGTGGCTAGCTCTAGGCATCATTAAATGGTGTGGATGTTTTGGCAAGATTATTTTTTTATTGGGCTTGGCCCAATGACCTTTTGAGTGGCGTCACATTGAACTGACTCACTGGGTCATCAATGCTGTCCTTCAACTTGAGATCACCAACTGGCATGCCACATTTCGTATTGATTCACTTCCAATCATAAAACCATCATGTTCATCATCATATGTTATTGGACCATTACATCACTGTTGTATAGGTTTCATCTCAAACTAACCTATTCTTTAGAGAGTCTGGTATTCCTTATGCCACAAACTTTGCATTCAGGATTTGAATTGATACACTGTTTCCATATTTTTATGCGTTAACACTTCCATTTGGTGGTAGCTGTGAGGTGTGATTTTTCTTGCATGTCATTCTTCCAATTTGAGTGTCGTGCAAATCCTGTATGCGGCAGGTAATTGTATGAGCTTTGTTGTTGCCCTGTTTGAGGGGATGAAGGCAAGAATTTTGTGTTATCTTTCTCTCAGTAAATGCACACAAAATCCCAGTTAATTTTTTGGACTTCAGTTTGACCTTAAGGCTCGAACCGAATATCTCTCTCTTCTCAGACGGCAAGATAGTGGAGTCACCATCAATGTCTTCGGCAACTGCTAATATGAACAGTGCAACAGTGGCAGTGGCACTATCTGAACAGGTGGTCCAAAATGGTGTGGAATTATCGGATTCAACCAAGTCGTATCTAGAAAGCAGCCCTGTGAAGGAGACAAGGGCATTGGTATCTGAACTGTGCCGGCGCTTCTACACACTGGGATGGGTTTCGGGTACTGGAGGTAGCATCACCATTAAAGTCCATGATGATTCCATTCCCAGGCACCATCAGTTCATTGTCATGTCCCCTTCTGGTACTCTTCCCCCCTCCCCTCATTCTCTCTATTGTATATACATATATTTGTTTAGAGAGTATATATGCATAATTTGTGTTTTGGGTTTCACTGTTAGTTACAATCTCTTTTTCTGTTCTCTCTCTCTCTCTCTCTCTCTCTCTATATATATATATATATATATATATATATCCATTTCTTAGGGAAAATTATCAATAAGTCCTGCTTTTATCTCCTAAAGACCAATAAATTCTATCAGATTTGAATTTGACCATTAAGTCTTCTCCACAAATGTAATTTACTCTCTAAAAAAATAATATTTATCTTTTATTTGAAACACATCTGATTAATTTTCTTGTACTTTTAGAAAATAGATTAATTATTAAAAAAAATAAAATTTAGAAATTTAATATTAAACATGTTTGAGCAGTTAAAAAAAAAGTTTTGAATTTATATATCAATTTTTGGATAGAGATTATAATTGCAAAATATTTTGAGAAGGGTATGGGTGGAAGATTTAGATGTTTAGGACTTAATGGAATTGTTTTGTCAAAAGTAAGAATTTAATAGTATTATTGAAATTTGATAGAACTTACTTGTATTTAGGAGGAAAAAGTAGAACTTATAGGTAAATTTTCTCTTTTCTCCCACCCGATTTTTTCATATTGTAAAAAATATGCCTGTGTAGGCATCCAGAAGGAAAGAATGGTCCCAGAGGACATGTATGTGCTATCATCTGACGGGTTTATTTTGTCGACACCTCCTCTCAAGCCTTATCCCCACAATCCTCCCAAATGCACTGATTGTGCTCCTCTCTTCTTGAAGGTATACAGTAGATTTGTATACTATGCATTGTTTTTTAGTTCCTGATCCTTTAGTGATTTTCATGTTGTGTTGTGACCTGGTCATTTGAGTTCAAAGTCATGGATTACTTGTGTGTTGTTGTTTTTAGCCATGCAGTACAGTTGATTCTTATTATCTTTTCATGCAGATAATGGGATGTTTAAATATGCTCTGAAGTCTGTTTTGTTGGACAGCATTGTGAAACACCATAAAAAAATAATAATAAAATGAATCCGGAGAAATTTTTTGTTGTTGTCAAATTGAAGAACTTCCATTGATTGGAATCAAGAAAATTTCAAAAGCAGTAAAATTTTATTTTGTTTATTATTTTTATTATTATTTTGATATGTTAACAACTATCTACTCTAAAAGCTTGAGCTTTTAGAGAGGGCGTCACATTAATATTTATATCCTCTAACACGCCCCCTCACGTGTTGCCTTCTTCTTGGTCCAACACGTGTTTTCAATTTTTAATTAGGGTGACAATGAGGTTTGAACCTGAGACCTTTGGCTCTGATACCATGTTAACAACCATCTACTATGAAAGCCTAAGCTTTTAGAGAGGGTGTCACATTAATATTAATATCCTTTAACAGAGGGTTTAGAGAAATGGTTGTTAACATGGTATTAGAGCGATCATGTGTTCAAACATCAGTGTCACCCTGATAATTAAAATTAAAAAACAAGTGTTGAAAAAATGGTAAAGAATGCCACGTGTGGGGGGCCTGTGTTGAAGGATATAAATATTGAAGTTACACCATTTCTATTAGCTTAAGCTTTTGGAATAGATGGTCGTTAACATGATAAGTTCAAAAACCGTAAAAAATTGCAGTTTGGGGATGGTAAATTTTCTGAACTTTGAGGCATTACAAGATTGTGCAGCTTAATTTTTGATCGATCTTGTTGGGGTTTGATTGTATGTTTCCTTGTGTGCATGCACATGTGCATAGTAGTTAAAAGAATTTCTCATTTGTTTAATTACCACAAAGAGACACTAAATCAATAAGTACAGCTTAATAAGGGCTCAAAAATTTCATTATGATGTCTCAACATGTTTACGGTCTGCCAAAGAGCAGAATCATCGTATTTTCCTATCATTAGGGTTTTTTGGCATTCTCTATCATATGGCTATCAGCTGCATCTCAAGGATCATTAATCAGATGGGAACATTATAGCTCATCTGGTATAGGATTAGAATTACATATGCCAAATGTTTTAGATTTTTCAGTCATACCAAGTAACACCCCAAGTTATGCATTTGCTTTTGTGGGTGCTTTTATGGAGGTATCTATGCCCCTTAGAATGCAGGCAGCAGTAGCTACGTCAAAATTACTTATCAGATAGTACATAAGACAAGGAGTTGATCATTACCTTGGGATGCACAATAGTCAGCAAAAACCGAAAGAAATGAATTTATATATCCCTTAAGTGCTGATTTTTAAGATTTTGTCTAATTTGGATGATTTATCTTTGTCAGTTGTGAACTGTTTTTCTTTTTTAAATTTAAAAATTAATTTAATTCGTTAAATAACGTATTCTGAAATTTAGAACATTCTTATGGACTTTTGTTATGATCCTACCCAACATCAGTTTTCTATTTTTCTCCTTTTGTTGAATTTCATTTTTTTTTTTTTTCTTTTAAAATTATTGTTTATGCATGTCAAAGCTAGTTTTTCAAAAATCTTTCTTGTTTTTCTTTTTCTTTTTTCTTCCCTTGTAGTTGTGATTGTTCAGTAATTGCTGATGCAGTATATAATTGACTGATAGTTTCTTGTTTATATATATTTTCATCTTTCAGTTTTGATTTGTGCTCTTCAAGCTGTAATGACTTGTCTTCCTTCCGTTCTTCAGGCTTATGAGATGTGCAATGCTGGGGCAGTTATTCATAGTCATGGGATGGAGTCTTGCCTTGTAACAATGATATCTCCTTTCTCGAAGGAGTTTCGAGTAAGTTTTTGGAACTTGATAAAATATTATGAGATATAAATGATGCTCTCTCTTTTAGTTTCTTTCCATATGAGTTAACTTGTCATCTAGTTAGATGTAGTTCTAATGTCCTGAATACATGTTGTGATGTCTCTTTTCCCTATTTAAGTACTGAAAAATTGTTCCTGGAAGAATATTGAGAATATATGTTGTTTTTGTTTGCTCATTTAGATGTATTTTGTACTGTTGGAACTTGGAATGAAAATGCAATATTTATGATTGGTGATGTTGAGTTTATTCCATATAACCAAGAATAGTTTTCGGAATAATATTGTTGCACGATCATATAACATGTATTTCGTTGTTTAATTTTTTTTATTAATTGATTGTTGATGTTAATACGTGGAAGTTATGCATGTTCGATAGATGTATTGGAGTTAATAGAGATCTTGTGTACACAACACGTCATACAGAGGTGCTATATTGGTTATTTGAATTTGTTTCCATTAATTTAAATATCATATGGTTTTTGGCTTGAGGGATTTTTTGGCTTGAGGGATGTGTCTAATGTCTAGATGATCTGCTCGCAGTATATATTTTGAAAGACATAAAAATTGAAGAGAGAAAATAAACATGGAGAACAAGGATGGAAACACAAAGCCCAAAGGGCTACATCACTTTTATTATATTCTCTCTTAATTTTGTTTACAATAACCACCTCTATTTATAGGTGAATTGGGGAAGACTTGTAGCTAGAGAAAAGAAATTTTTTGTTCTACAAGTATTTTATGATATAGGAATTACACGGAAAGTCGAATACAAATATGGCAACAACTTGTTACCCAAGTATAGCAACTTTAACATTCTGTCAACGCTTAAATCACTCCTATAATTATTATCCAACACCCCTCTCAAGTTGTACATGGAGATTTAACTCAAGTGTCCAACTTGAAACTGAATATGAAGTTATCGAGAGTCCAAGGCGAGTTGCAAAGATTCGAGACAAGTTGATCCGTAGATCCGAGACGAGTTGATCCGAAGATCCGAGACGAGTAGAGTATAGAGTAGGGTATAATAAACCTGCTCTGATACCATAATGAAAGACATAAAAATTGAAGAGAGAAAATAAACATGGAGAACACAAGGATAGAAACACAAAGCCCAAATGGTTACATCACTTTTATTATATTCTCTCTTAATTTTGTTTAAGATAACCACATCTATTTATAGCTGAATTGGGGAAGACTTGTAGCTAGAGAAAAGAAATTTCTTGCTCTACAAGTATTTTATAATAAAGGAATTACGCAGAAAGTCAAATGCAAATATGGCAACAACTTGTTACCCAAGTATAGCAACTTTAACATTCTGTCAATGCTTAAATCACTCCTATAATTATTCTCCAACATATTTCATGATTGTAAATCAAATCTATGACTGAGTGCAGAAAATTATATAATGAGAAATAATTCTCAGCTTATGCATTCCAATTTTGAATTCGAGACATTTCTGCATATTTCTGTCTGCTTTATTAGGTGCCATTTCTTAGTGCAACGGTAATAGCTCAGGCTGATTAGTGCCAAACACAAAAGGTTAGTTCTGTCTCCAGCCTTCCTTTTCCAACGCCCCTCGTAAGCGGGAACTGCATTGGATTTGGACTATGGCTTTCTTAAAGTCTTCCTTATTCCCGTTACCCTTCTTGATTGGATGATTATGGGTATCAGAACACATTGTTAAAGGTTAGGGGATGATTTAGGAGAGTCATGAATCACGGTACACCTTAACGAAAAGTATAATTACGACTCTCTCTCTCTCTCTCTCAAACAACATACACACCCTAACATGAGAAAAAGGTAATCATTTCAATAGAAGGTATCTTCACTGGAGTGAGGCTCCGGCAAAAAATATACTAAGTTCTGCATCCAGTTGCAGAATGAATCTATTTTCTAGAACCACAAATGGTTAAAACTGTACCTTCTGATCTTGATTATATTTTCTATTTTTTTTTGCCTTGTCCAAAGCGTACTTACTGCATCAAGCATGCAACATGAAATGTAAAAGTAGTAACTGGAAGGCATAGGCATGAAATAGCGCTCTGAAGAACAAGTAGAAACCATAAGAATATCGCCTTTGGAGAACATATTATGAAGTATTTTCATGATATTAAATGAAGCACACAGGAACTGATCTTTAGTAAAGTGTACGAAGTAAAATTTAAATTGTTGTGAAAGTAATGTTACTAGCATTGCTTTGGAAATTGGAATTCAGGTTTTAAGTGCACCCCCTTAATGCTTTGAAATTGTTGTGCTTGCTTGTGGCTTTTAAAACACACTTCTCACTCTGTGATCTCAATCTTATTTTTTAATTGTTGCAAACAGTACTTATATTTATGTAATATGTATAGTTTTCTACTTGCACTACATTGCATTACTAGAGTTAGATGCATACATCAGAATCATCACTGTTGATGATATGATTTTTAAAGTCATGCATATATATAATTTTGACTATCTGATGGTTAGACTTCTGGCCCAATTTTCAAGTTTGCAACAGTAAAAGGCTTCACACTTTTCTTTAGGAGGTGAAGGGATAGGCTCAGGGAAACAGTTTCCAAAATTGTGATTTTTTAGATATTCCTGAAATCCAATAGTAAAAAAATCAGTAAAAGGGCTATTACTCAATGTGGTCCTGGTTGGTTGGTTAGTAGATAGTGCTAGGAGGGGGGACTGGATACAAACCTAAATATTAATATCTTAATATTGATTTAAAAAATATTTCAAAAATTGACGTCTATAACATTGTTGGATTTGATTGCCCCAAGATGCTGAAAATCCGAATTGCATTTGTTCCTAATGGTATTTTAGGCATCATTCTCAACAAATCTTATTTTGTGCTTAGGACACGATATTATTCTCTCGCGATAGCTGGAATGTTACCATAAGTTGATGTAATTTCCTATATGGTGCGGCAAATAGATTCTCAATTTTTTTTATTTTTATGTAGCCCTCACAAGTCTTATGACCGAAGTATTGTTATTCTTTATTTATATGGCGAGGAAACAAGAAAGGGAGGAGGAAGGATTCAGAACTCCTTCATTTACAACAACAACAACAACAACAACAACAACGACAAGGCTTTTTCCCAACTACTTGGGGTCGGCTACGTGAATCCTATGTTTCCATTTCGCCCTGTCTAAGGCCATAGCCTTAGTCAAACCACATGCTATCATATCCTTCTTTACTAACTCTACACGTTAACAAAACGCCTTCAATTGATCAATATTTTTAACCATCCCAAAAATTATATTTTCCATTTTTTTCCCTAGATGTGTCTTTTTAGGCTCTGTAAAAGCGTTGGAAGAATTAGAGACCTTCTCAAAGTTTTCTTATTGATTAGAGTAACACATTAGGGCTCTTAATGGGCCACATTTTGAAAATACACATCCCTCCCTAGATCATGGGGATTTCTAGAATTGAAAATTAAAAGTAATACTACTCCTAAAAAGTAACTTCAATAATTAAAAGATTACAGCAATACTGAGTAGTAGCACTCAAAAAGCCCTAAATTTAATCCTCCAATCATTTAATCAAAACAGATTGAGCTCTGGCAGACTCAGTAGTTTCCATGTGAAATTCCAAGCAAAAATAATAACCTGTTTTTAACTAGGAAGCACTATATCTCTATCATTTCTAACAAAAATTTCTTTTCTTTCTTTTTGATTTTCCACCATTCAAGTCAGAAAGGAATTTTCATTTCCAGGTGCGGAATGTGGATTACTGTGAAAGGAACCTGTTATGGAGGAACTATAGTTCCAAAGACTTTTCAAATTGAAAGTACAATGCGTATCCAATTGAGGATTGTTTCATAATTATTAGGAAAAGATGGTTTTATAGTGAAAAGGCTGTGTGCAGACATACATACTAGAATAGACAGCCGGGAATCACTCCTATATGTTACAGAAAGAGATAAGTTTTGAACAGAGGTAACTGCAATCTGAATTTGTTTTTCAGCATTCTAATTTTGATTTGGGAGCTTGTTTCTGACAAAAATTTTCCTACCCTTCTATGCTTACCATGTAAACATATTGGCCACTTTTGTGGCCGACCAAGAATTGTGGCAGATTATTATTTTTTTCAAATTCAGTTGCTTTATGATCGTGAAAAGAAAAAGTGGTGCATGTTGTAATAGTTTTTCCATTCCTTCAATGATCTCATGCAACCATGTAATTGAGTTGCTTCTTTGGTCTTCTCACACGTTAATAGGCGTGTTAGGTTAGGGACCTATGAATCATGGAAAGATAATCATAGATAAAAATCGCCAACTTGGGGGACTTCAGGAAACCTTTAGCTTGAATAATTTGTTGATACTTTCCTAGTTGTTAATTTAGAAATATTTAACTTGCAAGAATTTTTGGATGATCGAATTTTTTGTAGTTAGGTAACATGAAATTCTTATAATTGGTCGGTCTAGAGTTCAGTTAGAATTTCAATGATGGGTGCTCAAGTATTCCGTTGCCTGGCGATTTGAATTCTAGAAATGAGTAGTTGCAGTTTAGCTTATAATCTGATACATTTTCAGAAATTGATTATACCTTTAACATTGTTGGTAGGGAGGGAGAGATCGAGGAGGGCAAGGTGTACAAGTGATTCTGGGGGTGTGCAACGACAACAATTTGCTCAGCTATCTAATGGATTGTAAAATGATGTAAATTAAACAGGAAATTCCTTGGAGTAACCCAACAATTGACGAAAACTGGTATGCTATTAGTTGTAGCTGAGATATGTTAACCTAGAATCATGGGATTGAATTTATTTATGCATATATTTAGGCATAGAATCTGCCGCTATTTTATTTGGTTTCCTTTCTTGTAATATTTAACATGTGCTCTTTTAGTATAAATAACAAAGCGGTGAAAGAGTGATTATTCTCATTGAAGCCTTTACATATATATATTTTTTGTATTTCTTCTTTGTATCAGAGCCGCCACCTTTTCACAACCTCCAGCAGCCTTGCCATATATTTATGGGGACTTCTCGGAAATGGTCTGAGCAGACATTGTTGATTGTTTATGGTCTGAGGAGATACTTTGATTAGTTGACCGGATTTGTGGTGTTTTGGAGTTGTTTATTGTTGTGTGACTGAGTATGGTAGCTTTAGACAGGGATGGAGCCAATTAAGGACCAGGAGGGGCACGTGCCCCCCCTGGATTTTCTCCCTCCCTTATATTCTATATATATTTTATAATAATATATATGTTTTTTTAATGAAAATATGGAAAGTGCCCCCCCTCAATTTTCTCATTCTCCGTAGAATTCTATATATGTTTCACATTTTTTTATCCTAAATTGTTTCCTTAATCCTTATATTCTATATTTATAAATTAATTTCATTCCAAAAATATCATTATCTCTTTCTATATATATATATATACTCATAAATATTGACTTATATACATGTACATTATATTATAAATATATGATATGGTAATGTCCCCCCCCCCCCCCCCCCCCCCCCCCCCCGAAATTTTTTTCTGGTTTCGTCCCTGGCTTTAGAGTCCTCGACTGTTAATTTTCATGGCTTGAGTTCTGTAGGTGGTAGTGCTATTTGTTGGGGCAGAGGAAGAGCGTGAATACAAAGATCCAATGAAAGCTAACAAAGCAATCACACACAAACACAAGATATAACGCTTTGGTCGAATTACATCCACGGATGAGAAGAGATTCCACTATGATTTCCACATAAGAGTACCAACACTGCGTACAAGTCTTTTCACCATGTACCACTCCACGAGCATATCTCCTTGCTACCAGTGTCCCCGTTGTTTTTCCAACTCTACCAACTCATTAACTACCTCTACCCATCAACTCCCTCATGAGACTACATCTCTCTCAATCTCATAAGTCTTAACCCAAAACCTAGGTATCTATTTATAGTGTTATAAACCCAATTCCTTGGAGCCTAAACCTTGTCTAACAAGATTTTAGCAAGTAAAATACAACTCTAAAATAGAAACATAATTAGATTAGGAAATTGAGACAACATTCCCACGAATCTCCACCTTGGCTCAAATTCCATTCAGTCAATCATCTATTTCCTTGAAATTGATCAGGACAATTCATTGTAGTTGGAGCTTCAATCTTGAGGATCCTCCTGCAAAACACCGATTGTCCACACTGTATGCTCCTCGATCAGTCAAACCTCCAAGGCTCCACCTTAACTACTTGAGTTCCATGCCATGTATCCCATCACGATATTTTGACCATCGTAACCAACCAAGCCGATTGATTCCACCTGCAAATGAAACCCTATTGAGACTCCTTGTGTTTTCTGGATCTCCTTAACCTTTGGTTCTAATACCAATTTGTTCGGGCAGTGGAAGCACGTGAACACAAAGATCCAATGAAAGCCAACAAAGCAATTACACATAAACACAAGGTATATCGTGGTTCGACCAAAATCGGTCTACATCCACGGATGAGAAGAGATTCCACTATGATTTCCGTAGAGATATTACAATAGAAGAGTACCAACGCCGCGTACATGTCATTTCACCATGTTTCACACCACAAGCCTATCTCCTTGAGTATGCTTGTGTTCATTTGTTGGGATTGTCTTCATTCCCTACTCTGGAGGATTTATACTCCTATGTGTTGTCAGATAAGTGCTGCTGAACTCATCCATTAGGTTCTACTTTTGCTGACCGCTCTGCTATGGCAGTTCTTGTTCTTAACCCTTCAAGAACTGCACCATTGCAGTTGGTTCAGAATTCTAGACGACAACATGGGCGGACCATTGCGGGAAGCTTGGTCACATCATATCTTGGCTAACAATTACCAATGAAGTTCCTGATCCAAAAAAAAATAAAAATTACCAATGATGTTAAGGTGATAAGATGAAAGATGGTTCTATTTGGATTTGACCTCGTTTCATGTTGATAGTGCTATAGGGACTTCAAAGGTGGCAGCAAATGATCATGCAGACCTGCATCTTACACGTTTTTTTCCTTTTCTTTTCTTTTTTTTTTTTATTTATTTTTTTTTTATAAATTTTATTTAAAAAAGGGATTCTATCCCTAAATTGATTTTCATAATGTGTCAACATGAGCAGAATTTTCCTTTATTAAGAAGTTTTTGTAGGTACTTATGTTTTGAACGAATACTTGTGTCTATAATGTGTAGAATTGGTTTTAGTGTAGCAAGGATTGAAGTGATTCACGCTTTAAATCTTGTGACTGTTTTTACTGGAAGGATATTAGGGAGTTTACTAAGTGAAGGATGAATCCTGTATAAGCAAATATTGTAATTTTGAGATACAATAAAAAGGTATAAAAATTTGTGATTTGGATTTGGTTTGACCTATTTCGATTACTCATGCATTCTTTTTAGCTGTAAATCATGAGATTTGTTTGAGATGGTTTCCTTTGTATGTCATTCGAATGTTAATTTCTGTCATATTAACTAATCAGAAGCTGGATGCATTCCTCCTTTTTTTTTTTTTTTTAATTACATTATTTATTTCTTTTGTTTAATCCTTTTCGGGGTTGGTGTTGTGTATTCATCTTTTGGTTTACACGAACCTTCTCCACAAATCTTGCAGATTACTCATATGGAGATGATAAAAGGAATTCAGGGGCATGGTTATCACGATGAGCTTGTGGTCCCGATAATAGAAAACACTGCCCATGAAGGGGAGCTTACAGACTCTTTTACTGTAGTGGTACGCCCATTTACGTGGTCAATTGTACATAATGGTTTTTTTGACTTGTTCTGCATCAATATTTGGATCTTCTAGGTGAGAAGATATATATATATATATATATATATATATATATATATATATATATCAATCTAGATAGTCTTCTCTAGGAATGGAATTTTCCTTTGCATCATGGGGTGATATCGGTTTTATTTTCAGCCATTATTTTTTGCAAAGTTGTGGTAAAAAAAAATGTTTTGCTTTATTTATTGCTACTTTAATATTTGAAATATGCTATTATTTTGTTACTTGTAGCTTTACTGGCATGGTATCTGAGGAACTGCCTTGCATGGAACATATACATTCTATTGTGCAACATTTCCCTTGACATTATTCCAAATTTTGTTTCTATTAACATTGAGAAAAGGCACATTGTTGCATCCAGGCTATGAAGTTGTCGGTAGGGGAAGTGAGTTTTTGATAACAATGGGCTTGAATCAGGGATCCTATTAAGTCCTTTTCTTATTGCATTAGTTATTGAGTTTCTAATTGGATATCTCCTGGTGTATGTTATATGTTGACAACATAGTTGTAGCTGATGGAATAAAAGTAGGGGATATTCTATGTTGTAGCTGTGGAGAGACAATTTAGAATTTAAAGGTTTCAGTTTTAGCAAGAGAGATACCAAATATACATAGCGTAATTTATGGCAAAGGGAAACCTAACAATGATCATTTTCAGTATCCTTGATTATGTATCCATAAGGAAAGTGGAGATTGAAGTAGTTGCCCATTGAATTAGAATGGGATGGATGCTGTGTAAAAGTACTCCTTTAGTGTTCTATGATTGAAGAATTCTGGTCAAATTAAAAGAAACGTTGTATGATGTAGTTATAAGTTTCTAGATGGTGCAGAATGTTGGGCAATTACGAAACTTGTTAAAAGAATGAGGGTAGCTTGTATTATGATTATGCTGGGATGGATAAATGACATTACAAGAAAATATAGAATATGAAAAATGAAATCACTCTTGAGACGTTGGAAGTGACACTTACTGAAGATAAAATAAGAGAAAATAGTCTAAAGATGATTTGGTTACGCGACTTAATGCATCGGAGTGGAGGAGTTGGTTTATCCAAGTTGAGAGTTCTAGAAGGGCAAGAGGGAGGCCAAAAATAATGTGGAGTTCAGGCGATAAGAAATTACATTATCGCTTTTGGTTTGACTGAGTATATGGCATGCAGTCTGCATGCCGTGCAGCTGTGATACACTCCAGTAAGTGCCTGCATGGCATAACCTTCCCAAAGTGTTATGGGGTTTGACATACAGGAAGCCTTGCTAAAATTCATCTGGTGAGCAGTAGTTTTACTTGGCCTGATGACTTGCATGGTTTATTTACTAGGGGTGGCAATATTTGACATGATATAGGATAAGTGGGTTTGGGTTTGGCTTAATTGTATTCGGGTTGTAATCGTGTTGACCCCAATTGACACGCTAATTAAATGTGTCGCATTTATGTTTGACCCGTCAACCTGTTTATAACCCGATTAGACTGGTTTAACTAAATGTGTCATGTTCGTGTTAGAGATGACCCTAATAGTATGAAATTTTAATTAAACGTGTCTTAACACATCGTGACGTTTTAGGTCTTAACCCATTTATTACACAGGTTATGCGGGTTATGTTGTGTTACCTGTTCAATAATCATGTCATGTTCATGTATAATAATCCTATTGTGTTTGTGCGACTCATATGACAGAATAACCATGTCATGACACGACATGGAAACACAAATTGCCACCCTATTGTTTACCCTCAAAGTCTGTTTTACCACATCTTATTCTGGTAGCCATCATAGTGAACAATTCTTGAAGCTCATGGCTAAGTGCTAGAAGTTGGCCGGATAAAAAATGATTGTCACTTTACTTTTTCGTTTTCTTTGTCATGGGTACCTAATTTGCATTTTACAGGATTGTTGTGCTCAAGAAGTCCACTTGCCGAACTGTTGTGACAAGATACATAATTACATTAAAAGTATATAAATCATATTTAACTTTGCTTTCAATCAGTTAAACTTGATTTTAATGTATATCTTTCTCATGGGTATAGCAGCTGTAGCTTACTTCTTTGGTTTATGTATATGTCGTCCAACTGCTGCTTGTAAGTTTGTTCTCGTGCACTTGGCCATTTGTTTGCTTGCTTTTTTAAGTTGCTACCTTAATATTCAAAATCTAATATTTATGATTGTTAAGAGTCTAAAATTACCTGTTGTAGAATATGCTACCACTTTTTCTTGGTTACATAGAATGTGAATAACCTTGATAATGGCTCTGCCAGAAGTAAACAGTACCTTTTGTTCTGGAGTTGTTTTCTTCTCTGTATTTAGTACTTTCATATAGTTTCCTATTGGTTATGTTGTATCAAGTACTAATCTGTGTTATAGGAAAGGCTTGAAAGTAAGTGAATATATTATGCAGCGGGGTTGCTCTCTGTTAGTAAATGTCTGATTAGTTTCCTTAAGTTTGTTTTACAAATTCTTTTCCAGATTAATTCATTTTATGTCCTGCAGATCAGAACTTACCCAAAAGCAACAGCTGTACTTGTTCGCAACCATGGGGTGTATGTATGGGGAGACTCATGGATCAGTGCCAAGACTCAGGTTAGTGTATGAAATAAAAAATTAGATTTTTGTTCCCCCTTCATACATTTTGATTATCGCACTAGCAGTACTACATTTATTTCAAGCATGCCCCCGTTGTTGCATAAATCCTTTTGGTGGTGAGATGCCTGAAGTATTTTGTCTTTTTTGGCCCATTTTTCAGTAAACTAAATTATTTTATTGCAGTATAAATACCATTTATAAAACTTTTATAGACAATATTTATGGATAAAGCAAGCCTTTGCGCACACTCGAATGATTAGCACAAAATGATTAGAAGGTGCAAATCATTGCATATATTAGCAATACAGGACTTAAATGTCCAAATAATAACATGATGAGTGCCATCCTGTTTCTATCTAGGTGCTGGGTTAATTATTGTTGAAAGTTACACTCTCTCTAACAGGTTAAGCTTTTAGAGTAGATGGTTGTTGTCATGGTATCAGAGTAGGTAAGGTCCTGTGTTCAGTCCTACCCTAAAAATTAAAATCGAAACACATGTTGGACCAAAAGAAGGCGACACGTGAGGGGTGTGTTGAAAGTTACACCCTTTCTAACAGCTTAAGCTTTTAAAGTAGATGGTTGTTGACAATTATAATTGTCAAGGTGTTCAACCTTTAGCCATGAGGACTTGAATGAATTCATCAAGCAATAAAAATAATTTCTTTGTGATGATCGATGCTCTAATACCATGTTAAATTTGGATGCGGAAATAAGAAATGCAAATAGGAAAAGGAAAGAGAGAAAGATGGAGAACACATGCATATACATGATTCGGCGGCACTAAGGCCTACATCTATGGACAAAGAGCCACTAAGGGTTACATTTCTATTATTCACATCTGCATCTTGCTTGAGTACAAAGAACATATATATAGGCATGGCAAAGATAAATATGGAAGCTAGAGAGGTGGTGTACGATAGTCAAAGGAGGCACTGTGATTGTTGGAGGATTTTGCTCCATTGAAAGTTGCCTAATATATATATATATATTTCAACACTTCCTCTCAAGTTGGAGCATGAATATCATGAATGCCCAATTTTCCAAAGAGACGCTAGAGTTGGATTAGGCAGTCTAAAGATGATGGGAAAGTGTCCGGAATTAAGCCAGAAAACTGACTGGAACTAGCCAGTGAAATGATCGGAACTACGCCGGGAAAAGACGGAACTATGCCGTGGAAATGGGTCGAAACAATGCCGGGAAGCATGGGGTGAGCCATCTGAGAAAAAGGGCCTGAACTACACCGAGAAATGACCGGAACCAAGCCGGTAAAGAGACCGGAACATGCCAGTAAATGGAGATATAGACAATATGCTCCATGACAATAATATCAACTCCCCTTCAAACTCTAGATGTTACAACAAGAGCATATAGGGTTTGACAAGTGGAGAAAGAAAGAAATGGTAGATATGTGAAGAACCACACAACAATACCAAAGAATTGGAATTTTTAAATTAGATACCGGTAAGCGGGTCGGGCTTGTTTTTGGGTCGGTCCAGTAATGGGTTGAATCTGAACTTGGTTGGATAAAAAAAACCAGGTTAAACCAGAATTGGGTTGAATCTGGCCAAAATAGGTTTATGATAGTCTAAACCAGGAACCAAACAAGTAAAGGAGTATTGTCTCCTTTACAATCCCTGACCCAAAGAGAAGCCACCACTGTGTAGAACAATAACATCAACCAAAACATGTAAGGGGAAGGTAAGGCTGTAGAATAACGACCAAGGATGGAGCTGCGCTGGCGACGATGGTGATGAGATTGTAGCAACGACGTCAACGCTTCAATTCTAATGGCAACATAGACGATGCCAACGATGACAACGTCAGTTGAAAACAAATGAGGTAGACGATGATGATGTAGAAACGAGCTTCGGCGGCAAGATGGATCACCGGAGCAGCAACAAAAAAGAAGACAGATCTGATAAAAGGTCTGAAAATCGCGCCGGAAAAACTTGGGTGAAGGTGTGCTCTCAGGAGGTAGAAGACGACAGTCGGAACGTGAGGCGTGTGCCCAGCACGCGGTTTACCGGTTACCGGCGCGTGACTGCGCGTCTCACCAGCTGTGATTGGTAGCCAGGGCCTCGACGGGAGCAGGAATTGGTGTAACAGCTGGCAAAATGATCGGCGTAGACGCCCTGAGCAAGGATTTCGGAGGCAGAGACTCACCAAAGGTGAAAGACTGGTAACCATACGTCGATTTTGACGGTTCTCTGGTGGATACTTCAAGAACTTCTTTTTGTAAACAGTAAAGAATTTTTTTTTGACAAAACGCCAAATAACTTCTTTGTGATGATCGATCTAGGATTGATGCTCTGATACCATGTTAAATTTGGATGCGGAAATAAGAAATGCTAATAGGAAAAAGGAAGAGAGAAAGATGGAGAACACATGCATATACATGGTTCGGCACTAAGGCCTACATCTATGGACAAAGAGCCACTAAGGGCTACATTTCTATTATTCAAATCTGTATCTTGCTCGAGTACAAAGAGCATATATATTGGCATGGTAAAGATAAATATGGAAGCCAGAGAGGTGGTGTACAATAGTCAAAGGAGGCACCGTGATGGATAGAGGATTTTGCTCCATTGAAAGTTGCCTAATATATATAAATAAATAAATAAATAAATAAATAAATATATATATATATATATATATATATATATATATATATATATATATATATATTTCAACATGAACAAACTCCTTTGATTGATTATTAATAACAAAACTAGTCTCTTTGTTTTTGTTGGAGTAATTTGTAGTCAGTTTATGTGAATGAGCACTCTGCTGTGTGTGCTTTTATGATATTCTGAGTCACTGATGTATTGTAATGTTATAAACTTAATTATGTTTTGTTGCATTTAAGTCTGGCGGAGTTAGTCTGCGTAGCGTAATATCAACCAACTATTCTTTATGTTTCTGTTCGTCTTGTCTGGGAAAAAGATGAATTTACTTGCCATGTTTTCTAAATATTGTTTTCTTTTGAATTTGCAAATTGTTTTATCAGGCTGAATGTTATCACTATCTCTTTGATGCTGCCATCAAGCTTCATCAGTTGGGATTGGACTGGTCTACTCCATATCATGGTCCCATTCGCAATGTCAATGGATCTTGTGGATGCGGTGGAAATGTTAGCAAGATTCTGAAGGCAGGGGCTCTTAGTTCAGATTGTGTCGTTGAGCCTTCCCAGGTAAGTTCTTAGTTCTTTTCCCTTGTAGAATTATTGAGTTTTTTAGACAAGTATTTAACCAACATAAGTTTCTTAAAGGAGTACCTTTATTTTTGGATGTAGACTGTTAAATGCGTGTGTTACATTTATAGTTTTCTTTATTGTTTTGCTAGTATTGAAGTAACTATTTCTTTTAATCTTCTACACTTTATGGTGCAGCGCTGTATTCTTCTTGACATAGGAGGGACGACAACTCCTATATCATTTGTCTTCAATGTTCTTTTCCCTTATGCCACTGATAATGTGGTAAAACATTTGGCCACAACGTATGACAGTGCTGAAACTCAAGATGATATTAATTTGCTCCGTTCTCAAGTATGATTCTGTCTTCTCTTTCAATGCTATAGTATGTTGATATATCATCAACTGCCTTTTTTGTAATGAGCAATTTTTTTAATTGGTTCTTATAAAATAATATTTGTGCTCTCATTCAGAGCCATCAACATCATGGTACTGGTGAAACAAACATGTTGCAATATTTATTGGTGGCCTTTTTGTGTTTCAGCTACTGTTCTAACTTCAAAACCCAAACCTACAAGTTTTTCATAACCTTAGCCTACTATACGATCATCTGTAGGCAACATTTCTCCATGGTTCCTAAAACTTTCCTGCATCACTCTTTCTCTCTTCCCCTTTCTCAACCTTTTTATTTATTTATTTATTTTTGTCTTCCTCTCTCAACTATGGGTGGTAGAAGGCACCCTTTGGAAGTTCACTGGAATATAGTCATGTTGTAAAAACATTTGACACCCCAAATTAATCTTCTTTTGCTGTTTTGCCAGACAAGTATCTCCATCGTTTGAACCTTTGGAAGTTCACTGGAATATAGTCATGTTGTAAAAACATTTGACACCCCAAATTAATCTTCTTTTGCTGTTTTGCCAGACAAGTATCTCCATCGTTTGAAGAATAATTTCTGCCTTCAATGAATTTTTTTTCAGGTTTAAATTATTGCTAGACATGTCCAGTAATATATATATATATATTTTTAGTCTTGCATTGGTTATGTTGCTGGATTTTATCTGAGATCTTTGGTAGGCCTAGACTAATCTTTAGTAATTAAAATTTTAAATTTCCTAATTTGTGTCTTAGTATAATCAAGAGTACTATAGAAACCTATGAATATCAAATTTAAGTTATTTATTCAATGAGGAATTACAGGTATGAAAATTTTGATTGTTTGATAATGTGCAATCTTAGGGGGTGATTTCAAAGGAATTAGGTGAGATCTTTAGATTATTCTTTTTATTAGTGTTGTCTTCTCTGTTCAATTACTTTTTGCTGGGTATTATTTGCAGCTTTTTGACACCCCGTATCAAGCCCTATTCAACCTAACCCTTTGCTATTTGGTTGACAACCAATGCCATAATTAAATACTAACTCCAACAATTTATCACTTTCAAACCAAGCCAATTCCAATCCTTTTCCACCTTTAAAGCCTTCAACCTTCCTTCAATCTTTAGAAAACCTACAAATTTTATAACCTTATTGTTAGCAGATATGATAGCCACGATTTATGGAATGACTTACCGTATTAGCAGAGATTTGATAATGTTATAGAATATGCCATAGAATATGCTACAGAATATGTTGTGATTTGATTTAGTTTCATTTCTTGTAATATGAGCATGTGTTCTTTTTATCTATAAATAATAAAGTTGTGAATGAGTGATTTAATCTCATTCAAGTCTTTACACAATTCTCTCATTTTTCTTCTTTTTATATTTCTTCTTGGTATCAGAGCCAGGATGGTCCGATTGTAATGAGGGCATTGCGAGTTTGGCACCACCCATTTGGGAATGGTCTAAGGTGACATCGCCTATCTGGTAGGTGTCGGGTAAGCAGGGTGGTCCGACCTCAATAAGGGTGTTGCGAGTTTGGCACCACCCATTTATAAATGGTCTGAGGAGATATAGTTGTTTCTTTTTATGGTCTGAGGAGACATTGTTGATTCTCTCATCTACTTTGTTTAAATATATGTATGAACGGGAATGATATGAGGAGACATTGTTGATTCTTCCATCTACAGATTTTAAACATGTGTACGAAGGGAAATGGTCTGAGGAGACATTGTTGGTTATTTACGGTCTGAGGAGACATTGTTGGTTGTTTATGATCTTAGGAGACATTGTTAATTGTTTATTGTCTGAGGAGACATTTTTGATTTGTTGATTGGCACTTCATCGGAGAAAAAATCATCACTAGTTAGATTTGCACTCCATTTGTCACAAGCTCTCAGCAGCTTGCAGACATTCTTACAAAGGGCATTATCAAGATTGTGTTTGAGAATGCGTTATCCAAGTTGGGGGTTTCAGATATTCACGCACCAACTTGAGGGGGAGTGTTAGCAGATATGATAGCCATGATTTATGGAATGACTTACCGTATTAGTAGAGATTTGATTATGCTATAGAATATGCCATAGAATATGCTACATAATATGTTGTGATTTGATTTAGATTTGATTTAGTTTTTTTTCTTGTAATATGAGCATGTGCTCTTTTTATCTATAAATATTAGAGTTGTGAATGAGTGATTTAATCTCATTCAAGTCTTTACACAATTCTCTCATTTTTCTTCTTTTTATATTTCTTCTCTTATCCTACTGTAAGATCAATTGTAGGAAACATTATTTCAAAGATCTTAAAGCTGTCCTACAAAATTGAGAACTTACAGCCAGTTCTTGTCATAATATCTTGGAAATTAACTGATACCTTCTTCTTTTTTTTTTTTAAATTTTATTTTTAGGTGCCATAAATAGCTTTTTCACAAAATAGTAGCTTGACATCTAGCTCCCTTGTCGTTATTTTTGTTTAAAGGTTAGTGGGTCCTTTGGGTGCAGTTCTGGCTGCTGCAGCTTGGGTGAATTGAGTTAGTTGGAGGTCAACTCAGGCTCAAAACAAGCTATACCGGCCTCTACATATGGCCAATCTAACCTATCCTACCTCCCGAGCCCAGCCTGAGTTAAAATTCATAAGCTCATTTAATGCTTGGGTCTCCCAGAGAGGAGAAAGAAAAATAAGGAATTTATTTATGATTGGATAGGCATATGGATCTAGTTCATATTGCCTAGAGATTGGCCCAAGCCTCAAAAGTTGAGGTCAGGTTGAGTTTATCTAGTCCAATTCCAATACAAGCTTATAAATTGCTGCCCCAGCCCACCGTTGTTTTGGCTTGGGCTTGTGTTGGCCCACATTAAAATCTAATTACTTGCATTCCCTAGTTACTCCAAAAATTAGATTTGTAAATGGTTTATGAAAGTGTTTCAGACTTTTCACTTATCCAAAAAAGAAAAAAGAAAAGAAAAAAGAAGTGTTTCGGACTTGTTAGACAAAAACACTGTTAATGTGCGGTAACTTGACCAAAGCGTTAGCAATCCCAGAGGATGATTTATTGGAAGTCTAACGTATTAATTGAATTTTTTTGATCATGTTTATGTATATATATATTTTGATCATGTTTATATTTAGTTCAATTTGGTTTCGCTGTTCTAGAACTTTGAATTTGATAAATATAAAAGGATTGAGAGAAACTGTGAAGCACATCAGTTTGGATTAATTATTTTTTAGAGCAGGACATGGTCCTAGAGTCCCATTTCCCTCGCAACTATGATCTGCACTAGTCTCCTTTCCTTGCGCTCTGCTTGCAATTTAATAGATAATCTTTAACAATTTCAAAGTTAGTGAATTAGATAAAAAAAGAGAATCATTAATAGATAAGAAATGAAATGCGGCCCTTTAATTTATTTACTCCCTTCGTCCCAAAATAAATGTCCAACTTTTATGAGACCCTATATTATTATTATTATTGCTGTTACATCATCGTTGTCGTTGTGGTTGTCATCATTATCATCATTATTGCTATTGTCCTGATCAATTATTATTTGCATGCTGGTCTAGAATATAAAACATGAATATTTTGTTCACTTCTCAATTCTGGCAGATTCAAAGTGATTTGGAACAAGGTGTTGCTGGTGCCGTGCCTTTCCATCCTGATTGCATGGGAAAAGAGCTGGTCATTGCTTCTTTGGCTGCTAATGTGGAAGCGATGACAAGGGCTGACAGAAAAGTTACTGCCCTTAAACAACTGCAAGTAAGATAATATGAATGTAATCTTGGGCATTTGTTGAAGCAAGATTATACTATTGCTACAATTTATGTCTCAGGGCCATATATGGAGGACTGGATATCAAAGTAATGAGTTGATGGGAGTACTATTTAATGATGTACCAGAAGCTCTTGAGAGGTGGCAAGCCTCGGGCATTAAGGTTTATATATTTACCTTTTTTCTTCTTCTTCTTTGAACAAACTTGATTACCACAAATACTAGAAAGGAGAATAACAATATTTTTCCTTAAACTGAAGCATGATTTTGCGTGCAAATATACAAACACATGTACCTATACTGTGCAGGGTGTCAGATAGCTAAATAGATTTGTGTTTGCTTTTATGGGTGTTTCTATTAGTTTTCAACTTTAGTACCTACTTATTGGGCAAGACTAGAAATCATGTGGGATCTGTTTTTGCAGGTTTGAACCCTGCCACCCACATTTTTTAGCATTTAGAGGGTTGCTTGGTGCTAAAAGCTCAAGCTACTAAGCGTGAGGATACCAGTTTGAGTATGAAAGCACCACTTTGTGCCAAAATAATGCAAGAGTTTTGATTTGTCTTTAGTCTTTCCTTCCAAGCACCATACATATATGGGACTAGTACTTGGTAATGGTCTTCTTGGACTGACTTGTCAGAAGATGTTAGACTATGGCTCCTTTGGTTAAAAAGGTTAGAATGGAAACATTTTACAAAAGAATTTAGAAAAGGGGAAAATGTGTTGTAGGTTCTAAAAATAAGACAAATAAATGAAGATGCTCATGTTTATTGGGGGCAGAAAAGAATCTCTGTATTTGGCTTTACATGGAAGGTCAAAATTAATCTGCAGATGTGCCTAGTAGCTTAGTGCCATTTCAAACATCTAAATATGGTTTGGATAGTAGAAAAACTCTCAACTCAAAATGACACAGACAACATTTTTAGATGTTTCGAACATTCAAACTCTGAAATCCTCTTTGTTTAGTGCTTTCTGAAATCTGTGAAACTGAATCTTCTTTAGTGCATGGATACGGACACAGGCTATGAAGCACGGATACGGACAGGGCTATGGGTATGACAAGATACCGACACGGTGATACGTAAATCTAAAAAATATAGGACATGGACATGGATAAGACATATACTAATTTAATTATTATATATGCAAAAAAAAAAATTACTTTTTCTTCTTTTTCCACATTATCATGAACACTGTCATTAATTTGGAGTTTAGAAATGTATGAATGTTATTTTTGTTTTCCACTAACTTTCTTTTTAAAGAAATAACTAGAAAACTACCCTATTGTGTTCTGTCCTTAATATGTCCCTGTTGTGTCTATTGAAGATTTAATGGAGGAATTATGCAATATCTGTGTGTTCTACTTGTTTTATTTATTTCTTCGCTTCCGTTTTATGCTTTACAACATGGTATTATGGCCTAAATTATCTTCCTAAGTTCGAACCCCTATTTTGGGGTATTCCCTCAGCATCTGAAATGTTGCTAAGGGTTTCTCGGTGCTATTTGTGACTTGTGACGACTGCCGGTTTGTTCGGCGGTAATGTTTTTTGCATTTGTTGTGTCTCCGACAGTTTTTATTGAGTTGTTTGGGCTGCCGGTGTATTCGGTAGCATTGTCTTCGCCTTTGCCATGTCTTCGGCAATTTTTATTGACTTGTTTAAGGTTGTCAGTGTGTTCGATAGCATTGTCTTCGCCTTTGCCATGTCTTCGGCAGTTTTTTGTTGACTTGTTTGGGTTGTCGGTATGTTCGATAGCATTGTTCTTCGTTTTCTCTCTTCATCATTCACACTTGCTGCTCGTCATCTCAATGGCAAGTTGGGCATTAATGCTCCAACTTGAGGGGGAGTATTGAAGATTTAATGGAGAAATCAGTGGAGGAAAATCTTTCAGTAATTGATGTTGTTTCCTATTATTGAAGATTTGATGTTATCGAGGAATCAGTGGAGAAAAGTCCTCCTTGTTTTCTATTTTCTATCTCTTTCCATTCTCATAATTTCTTCTCCTATATAAAGGAGCCTCCACCGCTGTATTGTATATGAATTGAGAGAGTATTATAAAAGTGATGTAGCCCTTTGGGCTCTTTGTGCCGTGGATGTAAGCCCTAGTGGCTGAATCACGTAATATCTGTGTGTTCTACTTGTTTTATTTATATCTTTGCTTCCGTTTTATGATTTACAACAGTGTCCAACCAGGAAAAGAAAAATTCAAACTTTATGTTACTCCTAGCTGTGTTGGACAAGTATTCACGTGCTAGACGCCTCCATGGCATACCCTAGAGGAGATTTCGTGCTTCTTAGCTGACAGTTGTATACTGCAAATTATATGTTTTGACAGTATTACTGACATCATTAGAGGTTTTTGAGTTAATCTCTTCTGCCCATGTCTGGTTGCGTAATCAACCTATTTCTCAAGTAGAGTCAGCTCTCTTGATTAAAGACCGCACTGGGTAACGACCCTACTCAAGTAACGAACTCTGTAAAGTTTAATGTGGGAGGTTAAGTGACATGACATTCCTGCCTCTGAATATATTGGTATTTCTTGAAGGAGATTTGTGATTTGCATCCATTTTTGGAATCCAATAATCCTATCAAGAACAGAATTGCTCATCACCAATATAACTAAATTCTTGAGTTCCTTTCATATATTTCAGATTTCTAATTTATTAAATAAAATAATATAACATTGTTTAGAAGTAAAAATAAAAAAACATAAATTTTAATTCCTAATAGTATAGTTAAATTTATGTTACTTCCTATGCATTGTCACAGCCCCTCCTCTTGCTTAAGCTGTAGGTTTCTGCATTGCCACTATCATTATTGCTGCCGTTGCATGTGTGATCCAAAACAGGTGCTTTGGCTACACTGATTTATAATACAGGTGTCCTTGAAATTTATTTTTTGTTTGATAAAACAAATTTGAGTAACGTTTTTGCTGATTTACCTGTTGATTTTGAATGAAGGTAAAAATTAGGTACCTCCTGTAATATTACAACTGGATGGCATACAATAAATTTTATTTTATTATTATTATAATTTTTTAAGAAAATAGTATTTTCTTAGGGTCAGTTAATGTTATCGTTTTTCTTTTGTTCAGGTTTACATATATTCTAGTGGTAGTAGAGAAGCACAACAGCTTCTCTTTGGCAATTCAAATTTTGGAGACTTGAGAAAGTACTTTTGTGGATTTTTTGATACTACAGTAGGGTAAATTCTCCTCATGCTCTCCCGCTTTCTGGTTTTATCCTTGCATGATTGCTGCAACTGTCATTTAAATTTAATTTGCAGAAGAAAAATTGAATCATGTAGCTATGTCGAGATTTTGCGAACAGTGGGAGTTGATAGGCCAGCGGATTTGTTATTTGTGACCCATGCCTTTCACGAAGCTGTGGCTGCAAGGGCTGCAGGTGAAGTGCTGCTGACATGGCTTCTTAACATCTGTTTTTGTATTATATTTCTTTACATTTTGCAGTACTTTTTAGAGCTGACTTTTATTCCTGAAATTGGGATCCTCCCTTTAAATTACCTCGTTCCATAAATACTGTCATTACTAGATTGTGTGTTTTGCATCTCTCTTATGTATATCTTGGGTTGGTTATAAAGTTGAGAAGTCTAACCCAAACCTCACAATTCTCTGGTCTTAACTGGTTTTGTATTTGGCTGGTTGGCGCTGAACTAAGATGCTTCTAATTTTTATTTTTCAATTTTATTCCTTTTGAGTGCGGAGGGAACATTTTAAAACATCTCTCTCTCTCTCTCATTTATTTTTTAAATATCTTAGTTATACTTAATTTTTTTTCGAAGCGGTAGCTGAAAATAAATCTCACACTAAGATAATAACATCGCAAAAGCTCCAATAGTTACACTTAAGTGTTTTTGTTACTTAACTATGCTGTTCTCTTCATACGTAATGCATATATATGGATATTTCATACACACGCCGGTTCAACTATAGTCGTTCAGTAGCCATCAATTTCAATTTGTTTTGACTTTTGACATAATTTTAAAAGCAACTTGAAGGGTTGGTTAGGGCTGATGTTTACCCAATCGTAATTGACCTGTTGCAAACGCACATCAACTTTATGGTTTTCTGTGATTTTCTTGTGTGTGAACAAAAAATTGCTATAATGTTAAATTGATATTTCTGAATGTTCCAGGTTTGCAAGTGATAATCTCCATCCGGCCAGGAAACCAACCTCTTCCAGAAAATCATGGGTTTAGAACTATTGAATCGTTGTTGGAACTATAGCCTTGTGTAAATCCAATGAGATGTTGCTATAATTATGATTGACACATTCAGCTTATGGTCTAATTGATCCTTCCACAGAAAGGGATTTTCTTTGTACAACTGTTCGCAAGCTAGTTTAGCCGAAAAGGAAGAGAAAAGCTCCATCACCCACTTTGTAGATGCTGGTTAATGAGCCGAAGTTGATAATAGGAAATCTTCCTATCTGAAGCATCAACAGGTACCGCCTTAAATACGCTCTAGTTAAAATATTATGTACAATCTAGAGCTATGAAAAGGAAGACTTATTATTATACCCATTAAGAAAAATGTTAATGTACGGTGACTGGAAATGGAAAAGCAGTGTTCGGAAAATGTTAATCTACAAACTGCATATGCAATATCAAGTCTAGAAGACTAGAACAGTTCATCAAATACGAGTTTACAATATATACATTTATCTGTTTCATTAATTAAGGAACAATTTGATAATAATATGCTTATCATGCCATTGTTTGGGAGCTTGTTTGGAGTGCTTTTTACGAAATTTCTATGAAATACAAGAATGACGGGTTTTAAGTCTTCTTTCCATAGAGGCCGAGTATTCCTAATTCCAATATCCGAGTCAAATGTTATGGGTTATTTACTAAGACAACTAAGGAACTTTCCTTATGGGTTTCTTCTCAAATTAGAATATGTAATTCTTCTCTTTAAATTCCCAAACGTCTTTTAGTTGCTGAAATTTTTTTCTAGAATTTTGTACAAGTTATAACCCTTTGAATTCTCTTAGAAGCTTAGAATATGGTGTTTAAAATATTTATGTACTCGATTTACTTAAACTAACCTAAATAACCTCATATGTTGTGGACATAAAATTATACTGTATTTATTAATTAAAATAAAATACAATAAAGTACTAAGAAATATAGTAATTTTGATGATAAAATATGCATTTGGTAATTGTGAATTATTAAAAGACTCGGTCGTATTTGGTGTATTCAAGATATTAAAAGCTATAGGTCATATTATACTGAATGGGTTTTGCGCAGAAAATGATTTTGTTGCTACAAAAATTGAATTCCATAGATATATATATTCACACTAATTTTATGATGCTGTATTAGTTTGAAATTGTATTCGTCACAAATAAGAGCTAAATCTTTTGCGATGACAACATAAAAGACCGTGGTGTTAATAATGTTCAAACACAAATGTACAATCATTGCTTACAGTAACGATTACGACGTATGCTCAAAGATTGGGGGGGGGGGGGGGGGGGGTGTAGAATCAATGGCATTGAAAGAAAAGTTAGAAAACTTAGTATGTTGATGTGACAATGTTAAAAGCATCTCAGCATTTTCATTCCACTTCTATTGGCTCACGCAAAGTGTGGTGCCATGTCAGTAATTGTGGTAACACAGTTTTACATATTTTTTGAAGATTTATTTCTCTTGTTGTGCACACATTTTTTATATTTTAGGCTTTATTATTTTAAAATTTACCCACATATTACTAATACACAATCAATTTATTTTATAATATTAAGAGTACACACAAGGCCACCATTTCAGGTGTACAATGGCTACCTGATTCTACACATCTTAAGGATTGGGTATAGAATGTGAAAGAGGGCCTACACGTGTGTAATGTGCATAGTAAAAGTATTGAATCCATTCAACACTTGCTCAGATACTGTACACATTGCTGATGCGCTGGGGTTGGTCTAATAAGAAGGCCCAAATAATGAATGCCATTCAATTATTTTTATCAGCAACCAACCACCGATATTAAAAAGCTGCAGCAACGATTACGACTACCGAAGTGAGGGTGAAAGAGAAATTATCAGTGTACTATTATGGTTTTGTCGGCAAATGGCCATCATAGGTTGCTGTGCCAAATTAAACAAGGATCGGCCTCTATTACTAACATGGGTTCCCTGATCCATTGAGTGGCAGTCAAACAGCCACGTCAGCTAAGGCTTTAATGATATTTCAGATCTGTTTTCTGTTCATCTACTGTACTTTTTAATAATATATTTTGGCGGGTATGGATGGTACCACTGCAAATTAATTGGAACTGGTTCTCAACAGATCTAGGAATTTCACAAACCAATCATTTAGCTTATGATTCTTTGCGCGTGGGAGGGGTGATATGACGAGAACTTGAGAAAAGAAAGATACTCGTCGTTCCCAAATTAAGTTAATACTCTCTGGTTTTATTTTTATTATTCGTTTCGTAAACCATGACTTACATATAAATAATAAAAATAGAACGGAAGGAATATATTTTTTTCCTTTGTCAAAACACAGAAGAAAAGAAAGATACACTATATATATATACACACACACACACACAGTGATACACCATTAACTAATTGGCCGGCCGGCTGCTGTAATGGTGAAGGCCATATCCAATCAAAAGTAATCCAAACACTAGTTATTTAAGTAATTATTGTTCTGTCATATCATAATGGAAACGCAATTTTTTTCAGATTCTCAAAGTGGATAAATATTATAGAAAGAAGGGAGTAGTATTTTTCTGTACAAGTTCTACTACATTTTTTGTTAGATCCATCCATAGTTGATGTGGCTGCCTCTGCGCCCCCCGATGGAGCAGCGGACGCAAGCGAACCCAAGTCAGCACTGTGAAGGGTCTTTGGTTTGTCCATCCGAGCAATTACAGTCCTTGTTTTTAAAAAAATTGATGGTGTGATTTTGCTTGGCAAGAAGTGTGAGACATTTTACGCAATGTTTGTGTGTTTGTGTATGTATAGTTAGTAAGTTTTTTATGTTTGTGTACTAATGTACTATTACGAACAAGAAGATTCAACAATTACAAACGAAGATGCATCTATATATACTCACTTAATTCTCCACTGATGGATATGATTCGTCAACAATCTGCCTACATTAAGTGAGAGAGAATAAAGAATGGGCAAATGGTGGTTATTAATGTAGAAATCAATGGAGGTGTTTATCAGTAGATCGACTGCTGGTCTATGATGTTCTTTTGTTATGTAAATTACTCACATACCTAACAAATACCCCCCATTATGGTCATTATTCCATCTTTATCATGTTACTAATGTTGTGGAACTGACTTATAATTGAATCAATAAAATGAGAGAATGATATTTGATTGGTATTAGAACACACAATGAAACACACATCAAGGAAATAATGACTATTAACTAAATTCTATAAATATTCCTCCTTTCGTCTTGTAATGTATTTCACGATTCCCTCAAAACATAACATTTATTATGAGGTAAGTATTTCTTATTACTCTCTCTGTCAAAAAAATAGCTCGTGGTCACAATTGACGGACTCCACTAAATTCTGACAGATTAATTTTATTCGTATATTGAACTAAACTTCTTTTTAATTTCTATAAGTGCTTTCAAACACTTTCGTCAAATTAATTTATCTAACTATTAACTAAATTCTTAGGATTACTCAATATTTTAAGTATGTTTTAGTAATCCAAACTACCTTTTTGCAAGTATTAATTTTATTCAAATTATGATGCATTTGATATAAAGGAATAGAGTGAAATGTTAATTTTAATCAATCATTTGTTTGTTATGCAATTTAAAGTGAGAATGACAAAAAAAAAAAAAAAAAAAAAAAAAATTATAATTGAGAATGAAAATTCATTCTACAACTAAATCTATGGAATAATCATATTCCATTCAAAATTATTATTTTTTTTAAAACAAAAATCAAAATTTCAAAAAACCCTCATATTCTAAGTCCAAAAATCACCGTCGCCGTCGCCGTCGCCGCCGCTACCACCACCATTATTTTCCACCACCACTACCACACTTTCCACCACAACCACCGCCACCTCCATTGCCATTGTCACCATTGTTGTCGCCTTCAACAACCACACCACCGCCGCCTTTCACCACTGCCACCTCTACCATCGACTTTCACCAGTGCCACCGCCTTCCACCACTACTACTTTAGAGTACCGCCACCTTCATTACCTTCCACCATAGTCATTGCCGCCACCCCACTATCGCTGCCGTTACCATCACCATATTCCACCATTGCCATCTTCCATCATCACTACCACTTCCGCCTCCCACCACCACGACACTGTTGTTGCCTCCATTGCCGCTACCACTTTTATCACCACCGCCACCGCTGCCATCGACTTCCACTACTGCCACTACCGTCCACCATCACCGCCACCTTCACTACCTTGCACCACCACTACCACCATCGTCGCCTTTCACCACCACCACACCGCTGCCACCTCCATTGCCTTCCACTGCCATCTCCACCACTACCGCCATCTCTACTACCACAATCTTCCACCATCGATCATTGCCACCTCCAATGCCACTGCCTTCCACCACCCACGTCCACTGCCTTTCACCATCACCACCTATTTATATCACTGACGCCTTCCACCACTACCACGTACCACCGCCTTCTATCAACATCATTGCTGTCTTCCGCCACCACCACCGTCGCCTTCTTCTATCACCGTTACCAATATTGTCATTCCTTTCAAAAAAAAAAAAAAAAAAAAATTATTGAAAAATGTTATTTTGTTAATTTAATTTATTTGTATGTATTTTAGAGAATTTAATTTGAAATTCATTCCATTCTAATTTTAGATTGATCTAACAAAACAATAGAATAATTGTTATTATCATCCAATTTTTACACGTTTTATATTTGTAACCAAACAATACAATGAGAATGACCATTCCATTCCTTTCCTACTTACATTTCATTCCATTCCTGCATATCAAATGTTTCATTAATGCAAATGTATCTTCACTACAAAAAGAAGAGGCTTTTACCTTCACTCGTATCAAAATGTAGCAATTTCGTAGCAAAATGTCATTTGTGACGAAAGTATTTGGGGGCACCATTTATATACTACGAAATATTTTTTGTTATTAATATGCTTATTTACTACGAATTATTTTCGTTACTAATAAAATAATTTACTACGAAATATGTCCGTCACTAATACATTTATTTGTTATGAATAATTTTCGTCACTAATACAATAATTTATTACGAGATATTTCCGTTACTAATACATTTATTTGTTACGAATTATTTCTGTCACAAATACATTAATTTATTACGGAATGTTTCCGTCACTAATACGCTTATTTATTACAAATTATTCCCGTAACTAATATATTAATTTATTACGAAATATTTTCTTGTAGTGCTTTTTGGCAATGAGAATAATGAAACCTCTAAATATTTATTATAATCAATCTCTTATTTACATTTGATGCCAATACCTCTTACTATATTACAATTTACAAGGCTTTGGTGTGATGGGTATTCTTTTTTTTTCAAACATCGGAAACTCGCACCCACCTGTCACTTCTTCATATGAGAGTTAACCTTCGAACTTTTTAGTTTAAAATGTGAGACTATCACTATTTATCATTGTATACTTTAAAATGTGAGAGTATTAAAATTATTATTATTATATATATAGATATCATTTTGACCCGAAACACAATTACACATCTATCGAATTAAATTATTTTACTTCAGAACTTAAAAGGTCAAAAAATGTCCTTAGCCCACGGCCTTGACAGTTATTTTCTATAATATTTACGACCTAACTTTTTTTACCCCATTGTTGTCCAACTAGCGTTGGACCATCCTCCCATTCCTCAATTTACATTATATAAATTTAACATATATGGATAGTAAGAAATTAAATGTTAGTTTTTTACGGTCTTTTTCTTTTCAAATTTTTTTTTTTGACTTTTATTAGTAATTATTGGTTAAAATATGTATGAGCGTTGGGTTGCACCAGTTTTAACTTCTGATATATAGTTTTATTTATTTATATATTAATTTATTAACAATGAACTCTCAACAATATTCCTTTTAGCTAGGGTGACTCAAACGCTTTATTTTTTAATTTGGAAGGAGACGAAATACGTATTGATAACTGGATTTCCCTTGTGATAGCTATAAGGGATTATTAATGACCTATATTTGTTATTTGATTGAAATCGAAGTCTCATAATTATTAAAAAATGAATTTGATCAAAATGTTAATGTGAATATGGAAAAATACTGTTCACTGAATCACTCTCACAGAGGTACCATTTTTTGTGCACGTATGTACTATTTTTTGTGCATTAGGTACCGTTTTTGTTTTGGGCATATATGAACCACTTTTATTTACATATGTACCACTTTTTTGTGTCTAAATGTGATACATATGTGAAGATAAACAGTATTTTTTTTTTCATATTTTATTTTTTTGAAACAATAAGACTATGACTCTATTAAATAGTAAATATGATTCGTTACCACCATTTATATGTAATAATTCCTGCTTATAAATAATGAATGGGCAAGCGTGGGAAATTGTCACTAACTTTATTAACATATGTGCAAGAGCTGTATACAATGACTTGTCAGTAGTAGAGACGAAGCTGATCAAGAGCTCGATCTGATGGAGTTTCTACAGCCAGAAGCAGCTGTATCAGAGCCAGTGAGTCCTAATGGACAATACTTCAACAGCTCCGCGTTATCAGTCACCATTCTCGCTGTCCTCGAATCGGAAATCCCAATTGATGACTTGCCAACCACTTCACTCATCAAGGATGTCTTCTTACCTATCAATCCACGCTTTTCCTCCATCATGGTACTCTCCGGCCATCTCTTTAATTATATACAGTATATACACACACTGACACACACATAGGAGTACAAATAACGTAAGTAAGTATTTGTCATGCATATATAATGGATTGCTGCAGGTAGAAGACAAGAATGGAATGAAGAAATGGAAAAGAGTTGAAGTGAAGTTAGAAGATCATGTACACGTCCCCATTTTTCCAAAGAGAATATTGTCGACCCCAGAGTTGTACGATGACTATCTGAATGACTACTTAGCAAATATAGCGAAGGATCAACTTCCACAAAGCAGACCTTTGTGGGAAATCCACTTAGTTACATACCCAACAAGCAACGCAGCTGGGAGTTTGATATTTAAGCTTCACCATGCACTTGGGGATGGCTATTCTCTAATGGGTGCTCTTCTTTCTTGCCTCCAAAGAGCTGACAATCCTTCTCTTCCCTTGACATTCCCTTCACGTCAATCCAACACTACCAAACTTGAAGCAGGTAAATTTGACACCATTTTTGGGTTCGTGCCTCGAGTTCTTGCCGGGGTCATCAACACTTCTTTGGATTTTGGATGGAGTCTTTTGAAGAGCACTTGGCTCGAAGATGACCAGACGCCAATCCGATCAAGTGAGGGAGTGGAGTTCCTGCCAGTTTCTATAACTACTATGATATTCTCTCTTGATCACATCAAAAAGATCAAGGACAGCCTTAAAGTGGTAAGTAACAATTTTCTACTTATTGCATTTTTAGCAGTGGGACTATCTTAATGATATTGTACATGAGTTGAATATTGTCTAATAAGAAGAAGATCAACAAATTTGACTTCATATAGGAGTAAATGCTACGGCACACAGAACAAAGTCAGTGAATTTTTTTATATTATATTTGCGCCAGAGACCTGCTTTTGCCTCGGGTTTTAATTACCCAACAATGAGAGAGCCGATGCAAAAATAGCCCTTTACGCGAGGAAAGGCAAGACAGACTGAGTTCTGCTACCTACGTTTTATATTAGACTGAAATGGTGGCTTATGAAGCATAGTAAAAATACACGAAACAAAATGAAATTGTAATTAATAATAATAATAATTCACAGCTATATGCCAATTCATATAAGTGAAAACCATTTAAGGATTTTCAATTAATGTTTGTTTGTTTTTTTTTTTTTTTTTTTTTTTTTTCATATATGAAAATAAACACACCTACTTATTCACACACTTTTTTTTTCACAACAAAATCCCTCCATTCTTTTTAGGATGGAGAAGTTATACCATGAGTTGGTAATAATTTTTTTCACTTTTACGTAGGGAATAAAAAAGACGAGTTAGTGGTAATTAACCCTAAGGGGTTGGCTCTAGTGGTAGGTTACTAGGGCATGTGGCTCATGAAGTATTAGATCTGAGGTTCGACTTGTATATGCCCGTCGGTGAAAGTCCAAGTCTCACCTGATTCGTGTGGAGGGGTGTTATCCCAAGCCCATTCCATTTGAAAGTAAAAAAATTCAAAAAAATCAAGTTTCCAATCAAAATCCTTGTGTTCAAAGTCAAAAAACTGCTGCCACTACCGCCGTTGCCTTCCGTCACAACCACGACTACCTCTCACCACCGTCACTTCCACTGCCTTTTATTGCCACCAACTCTACCATCGTCACTATCACCACCATCATTGTTGCCGCCTTACACCAGGGACCACCTCCACCACCACACTACCGCCATCGTCACCACCACCGCGACCTTCTTTGCCTTCCACCACCACCGCTTAGGTTTTAAATTCAATTTAATTTAATTGTCATTGGGAGAGGTATTTTGGAGAATTAAATTTGAAACTAATTTTTTTATAGATTTTAAATTAGTCCAACAAAATAGTAGAATGATTATTATCATTTTATTCCAATATCATTTCATATCTATAACAAAAAAATAGAATGAAAATTAACAATCATTCCATTCACCCTAAGTGCTAGCCTAGTGATATTTCCTCACTTTTCAAAATAGAAGGTAAAATCTTCAAATACTCGTGGGAACAAAGTGGGTGTCCCAGTGCCTTTTTTGCCAAGATTTTTATTTTTATTTTTAAAATGAACATTTTATTCGCACTTACATTCTATTTCATTTTTGGCAGACTATAAATGATGTTATTACCGGAATAATCTTCTTCGGGAGTAGACTGTACATGCAAGAAAGAAACCATGATGTGGGCGATACACATTCTACTGCAATTGTGGTGCTCAACACTCGGAGCATCAATGGGTACATGTCCGTCAGCGACATGGTCAAACCGGACACTGAGATGCCATGGGGAAACCAATTTGCGTTCTTGCACGTGCCAATACCTAATCTAACCGATGATGACTGCTCTTCAAATCCTCTCAACTTTATCCTCAAAGCACATCACGTTATCAAAAGAAAAAGAAACTCGTCAGCAGTTCATCTCACTGGTAGTCTAATTGAGACGATGAGGAAACTTAGAGGTGCTGAGGTACGTACGACCATTAATTATGCCTCTCATGTTCTGTACTTACTATATATATATATATATATATATATATATATATATATATATGAGTACTTTAAATTTATATAATTGGTGTACGTCCTAGGCCACGGCGAAGTATGTCCATAAAACTTTAAAGAACTCGAGTATGGCAATCTCGAATCTGATCGGGCCGGCAGAAGGAATGGCTTTGGCGAATCATCCCATCACTGGATTTTACTTCGTAGGATGTGGAGTTCCACTGGTACGTATATAAACTAGACTACTAGCACAAATTAATCCATCATTTCCCTATCTTTGCAGTGTAGTTCAGATAAAAAACAGAGTTGTACTACTAGTAATGAATATTTTTTGAGTAAGAGAATATATTGTCATGGAATATTAGTGCGTGGATTAACAGTATTGATTTATTTTTGGCAAAGTTAACAAGGTGTTGATGATGATGGCATTGCAGAGTCTATGTATAACGATTGTGAGTTACATGGGAAAGCTAAGGGTTACTGTGAGTTCAGAGAAAGACTACATAGATCCCCACAAGTTCAACTCATGCATCATGAAGGCCTTCCAAATCATTCATGAAGCAGTATAGTCCACGACCTAGCTAGCTCCATCATATAAATCTCTCTCAAATCTTTGGACTCAGTACTTCACCAATCACTATTCTGCCATTACAACATGGTTTTCCTATAAATCACGTTTAATGTTAATTAATTGATGACGACATCTTTCTTTGTTTAATTTGGACGACTCTGTGCTGTGTTTCGTTGTGCTTGTAATCTTACCAATAATAATAATATGACAATATTAAGGGCTTATTTGAACCTTACCTTAAATTTGAATTGCCTTCTTTATTTATATATATAAAGGGTAAATTACTTTTAATTGTCATCTTTATATTTTACAAACATAAATTTGAATAGTCTTCTTTATATGAACAGGTACTACCTTAATATGTCATTGTTAAAACATTATCTCGGAGCTAATGTTGTGAAAAGGAAGATTTCTTATGATACCCATTAAAAAATTGTTCTTGTACCCTCGAATAGGGGAAATTGAAAAACAGTGCAACTCCAGATCCTTCAAAAATTGTAGGATGTGCGTTTGTATCATCTTGACTTGGTTAGGGTTATTCTTTTAGGAATACGGAGTTGCTTTCTTCTCCTACTCATATCAAATGGAACATGCTAAACCAAATCTTCTTGATGCAAAATGTTTGGCCTGTTGACATTGTGTTTGTATTCATGGCTAGCTATTGAGTTCAATTTGTAGCTAGCATTATGAGAAAGAAGAGATAAAGCCAAAAAACAAAAAGGTCTTAATGATCAAAGTGGCACAACACCGTATTATATTACATTCGCAGGGGTAGAGCCAATATATGCCCAGGGAACGTGCCCCCAGCGCCCCAAAACTCTTTTAACACTTTTTTTTTTTACTCTTTAAATTCATTTAATTTTTTTTTTTTAAAAAATATTAAAACTTTTTTTTAGTCATGCTTTAATTCTTTTCATTTCAAAGTTATTTCCTTTCTTCTTCTTCTTATTCTCTCTTTATTTTTTTGTGAAAAGGAAGATTTCTTCTGATACCTATTAAAAAATTGTACAAATAAGAAGAAAAAGGGAAAGAAAAATGATAGGACTTTGAAATTAAGAAACGAATGAATAAGGAAAATTTGGCTTTTTTTAAAAGCAAATTAAAAAAATTAAAAAGTAAATGAAGAGAAAAAGAAAAAATTTAAAAGAATTTTAAAAATTTAAGAGGGGCATAATATACAAATGTCTATATATATGTACAAACATTATAAAAAACCCATATATATATCTATATATAATATTGGGCGGGGCCAGGCCAGGGGGCCATGTTCCCCACCAGGCTCCGCCCCTGCCTGCAATGAATGATGCACTGTTTTAAAATCTTGGCCGTTGATCAGAGGATTGACTTAGAGCAACCGTCATCTGTTTTGAAACTTGGGTTTCTATTTTGATTGGGCTGGTGTAAGGTCCTTTGTGGTGTGTTTCCTTAGTTGTCTTTTGGAGTGGCGTGGGCCTCCTCAGTTTAGCCCGCCTGCCTTGGGCCATTTTTTTACCTTGTACATCCTTTCCCTTTTATATTCTACTGCCTAAGTGCCTAGTCCCTCCTCCCCCAATTAATGCCCACATTTTTATTTTTGACTATTCCAAAATAAAATTTTAATTTAAAAAATTAAAGTATTATTTTTGTAACATTATCAATTTAATTTTCTCGCATTAAACTTTTTAAACCTATAAAAAATAAGTCATCACATCATGTACATCCACTATGAACAAATTTAATAATTCATTCACTATTAATATAATAAAAAAATAGGATAAAGTGCATTAAACCCCCCTGAACTATTGATCATTTGCAAGAAACCCCCCTGAACTACAAAAAAACCCCTGAACTATGATTTTGTTACAATTTACCCCCTTGAACTATTGGTCATTTGCAAGAAACCCCCCTGAACTACAAAAAACCCCCCTGAACTATGATTTTGTTGCAATTTACCCTCTTGAACTATGATTTTGTTGCAATTTACCCCCATGACATCAGCTTCCGGTATCGAAAATTTTGAAAGACCAGTTTACCCTTATAACACGTACACTGCGTCGTTTTAACTTATACACTTCTTACTTTTTTTTTTTTCTGCCAAAAGATGCCTTTCACCCAACACAACCCAAAACTGAGAGCTACAGAGAGAGAGAAGAGACCAAAGAAATCCAAGGTCGGCGGGATGGCTCGGTCTCGGATGATGGCGGCTTGTGCACGGAGGACTCGGTTGTGATGAGAGCTCGGTTGACTCGGCCGTGAACTGTGGAGGCGGCGGCGAGCTCAAGGGGGATTGACGGTGAACTGTGGACGGCTGTGTGCTTGAAACACGGACGGTGATGTGCTCGGCTATAGAGATGGCGGAATGGGCCGGTGAGATTGGAATGGATGGTGGAATGGACCGGCGAGCAAGGTGAGCTGAACGGTGGGCAAGGCGGTGACGGCGATGGGCTGACGCAACGGTGCAGAGAAGTGCTATATATATGGTCGACGGATCTGGCGAGTGGTGCAACGGCTGTGATGGAGCTATGATAGGAGACCCACCGATCCCAGTAACAAATTCCTCGGCTTCATCGTCCCTTTCAGTCAATCAATTGGCGTGGATGGGGTAAACTGCAAAAAAATATATAGTTCAGGGGGTTTTTTTGCATATACCCCAATAGTTCAGGGGTTTTTTTTGCAACTTTTATAGTTCAGGGGAGTTTCTTGCACATACCCCAATAGTTCAGGGGTTTTTTTTTTGTAATTTTTATAGTTCAGGGGGGTTTCTTGCACATACCCCAATAGTTCAGGGGGGTTTAATGCATTTTACCCAAAAAAATATTAAAATTCATCCTCCTAGATTAGATTTCCATAAAGGAATATTTAATTTGGGAGAACCTGCAAGGAAGAAAGAATGCAAACATATGTTTGAAGTATATGCATTAAAATTTATTCTTTTACTTTTAATGTAGTCTAAATAACAGGGTAATTCTCTAATGACCAAAGAGATTGTATTTCTCCTTACTAAAGTATAAAAGGTTGAGAGTTTAAATTTTCATACCTTTACAATTGAAAGACAAAACAAAATTGATTATAAAAATTTTTGGTTTGTGACCACATGATTTATCACCAAATTAAAAAATTATTGAAAATGATCTCATACCTTTTGACGATTGATTAATCGTCAACACTCTAAGAACAACAGTGAACTCGACTTACTTCTCCTTTAGAGACCTGAGGGCAACATGTACCATCTAATTGATAGGGGGGGCTAGAGATAAAAATCAAAAGAGAATCCTTATATTAACTCCAATTGGATAGATGTTGACTTATCTCATAACTCTACCCTATCTAATTAATTACAATAATTATCACTATATTATTGTAATTGAACTCTAAGATTTAAAAATTATAATAAGGCCCTATTCTACTAAATAATTGCATATAAGCCCTTCCACTACCGGGTATCCATAAGTAGCCCTAAGAAAAATAAATAGTGTTCCACCTAAAACATACTTATTTATTATATTCTTTGAGTAACCAATTTAATCCTTATGGTCAATAAATTAAATTCTTTTATAAAAGAATTTTACAAAATAAATTTTTTTCTAAATAAATAATTGAAAAATAATTTAGTAAACATTTTACTAAAATGCCCTGACCAGGTTACAGTGATCAAACTTATTAAATTCCATCAAGGGGATATTCTAACTCTTATAAAGAGTGTGAATTCCATATCATTTGTGTTCACTTTGCTCCAACATTAGTCACCTAATATACCGTGGTATTGACCTTAAAAGATTTTACACATTGGTAAATCAAAGTAGACCTGTAAATAGATCGGATTCTGATCTGAATCCGATCCGAATCCAAAACGATATGAATCCGACTCGATTACTCGGATATAAATTGAGCAAAAAATTCGATAACCCGTTTACGATTCGAATCCGATAATCTGATTTCTTAACAAATCAGATATAAATTTATGTTGATTCGATTCGATAATAATCCGATTTAATTAAATTTATATACACACACACACACACACAAAATACTCCTATCAGATTTATGTTAGATGTAACAAAAATTAAAAAAAGTAATCATAATGTTATATGTAAAATAGTGTGGCGTTCTCAATCATATACTAATAAATTGTAACGACCCGCTCCACCACATGGTATGATATTATCCACTTTGAGCCTGAGCCCGCACGGTTTTGCTTTTGGGTTTCACCCCAAAAGGCCTCATACCACCAATTGGAGATGACACACTTACATATAAGCACTTCACCTTTCCTCTACCCAGGCGATGTGGGACTGTGCACCCGTAGCTCGCCAGTGTGGTAGCCTGACAGTGTCTCTCGCACCCGCCCACGGCACACCTGCCCACAAGGTCTTTACAATCCACCCCCCTTGGAGGCCCGACGTCTTCGTCGGCACACTTCCGGCTGGGTCAGGCTCTGATACCATTTGTAACGACCCAATCCACCACATGGTATGATATTATCCGCTTTGGACCTGAGCCCGCACGGTTTTACTCTTGGGTTTCACCCCAAAAGGCCTCATACCAATTGGAGATGACACACTTACATATAAGCACTTCACCTTTCCTCGGGCCGGACGGAGATTGGCCCTCGAGTGCAAAGGCAGAAGGGAGCTTGCGGACAATATCATACCATGTGGTGGAGCGGGTCGTTACATAAATCTCCTAATATACATATTAATAATGTCATAATATTTATTCATTAATAAAGAGTAAATGCTCTATTTTTTTTTTCCTTTTCCTTCCATATTTTATTTATCTTCTGTTTTCTATCATTTTTTTCTAATAATTGTTTTTTATTCTCTTTTGACATTATTTTTTTATTATTTTTTTTTTCTAAAAAAAAAATTACACTTTTATCAGATCAGATTGGATTGGATCGGATATCTGTTCATTAACAAATTGGATATGAATTCACTTTTAAAATTTCGTCGGATTATTGGATCGGATCGGATCGAGTAAAATATTTATCGGATTCGAATCGAATCAAGCCAGATCTGATCCGAACCTGACCCATTGACAGGTTTAAATCAAAGTGACTAGTACTAAAACTTGAGTTCACTAAATCCCTTGGAATTTAGAGCCTAATTAATTTAGTAGATAAGAAGCACACCAAAATGATGACAGTAATTTGTATGGTGTGATCTTATGGTAATTTAGCTCAGTATAATCCAAGCACATTAACACACTGACTTAGAGTCAACTACCTCAATGGTCAAGTGTGTTACAATCTTACAAATAAAAGTTCCCAACTTTGCCAGGTGTAAGAAACCGATGAGCCCAAATCTCTTGCGTGTAAATCTCATTTATACACTTAAGTCACCTATATTGCAACTTGAGGATTATAATGCATCTCATGCAAATATATGTAAAACCTAATGTATGAATATTTTATTTAATAATAAATCACATTTATTAATAAAATGTCAATCATTAAAAAATAAATAATTGACTATTAAGGTACATAATCCCGACAAAAACCAAGTGTGTTAGTGTGTTTATTGCACACACATTAAAAAAAAAACAATAATAATAAAATATTGGGAGACCATATTCGACTTCACTTACTTTTTTCTTTTAAAGGAAATGACAAGAAGATCCTTCAATTTATTAATGCATCATCCCTTATTTTATAATGCCATAACTACCTTTTATTTTTATTTTATTTTTACCTTCTTTAATAAAATAAATAATTGACTATTAAGGTACATAATCCCAACAAAAACCAAGTGTGTAATAATAAAATATTGGGAGACCATATTCGCCTTTACTTACTTTTTTTCTTTTAAAGGAAATGATAAGAAGATCCTTCAATTTATTAATACATCATTCCTTATTTTATAATACCATAACTAACTTTTATTTTTACCTACTTTACTTCCATTACTATTATTTTTTATTTTATTTTTTTCGTACTTATATTCTCTCAGAGAGGAAAAATTATTTCATATTTACCAATAGTACCCTCTTTTGTGGAATATTAAGTACTATAAAAAAATTATAATTTCTCCACAAAACGAAAACCAGACGACAACAGAATTTTATTATAAATTTTTAAAAGAAAAAACTCATATATCCAGACACAAAATATAAAATATAATATGGGTAGGTGAGGGATGAGAACTTTGTCTTGGCAATGATAGGGATGGCATAGATGTATGCTGTACTTGGTTGGTACCTACTACCTACATACATGTCAGTCACTTTGGCACACCAGTATTCGAGAATTGGGTTGGCTAATAAACAACAAACCTTTGCCTTAGGAGTGAGATAGCTATCATATGTTGGTATTTTACAAGGCTATCACTTTGGCACTACATTAATTGTTTGAACATTAGGTTGGCTAAGAGTTTAATAATTCATGTCCATCCAGAGGTTTAACATTTTAACCAAAAAAAAAAAAATCCAGAGGTTTAACATGTTTGATCCCTAATTACTGATGCATGCAAGTGATATTAGTCATCACAAGCGTGACCTAAAAATTCCTTTGCCATGACTTATAAAAGACCCTCCTGCTAATATTCACACTCTTTGCTTAAGTAGCACTAGGCCAGAACAGTTTTTATTTTGTTATTATTAAGAAGTAACAAAACTATGACACGTTCAAATGACAATTAATGTCAAGCTTTTTTTTTTTTTTTTTTCACAATTAATGTCAAGCTTTACAGCGCCAACTTTTGTTCACACCGCAATCATATATATATTCAATTATATATATGCAACAACTACTTCCAACATTGAAGTCGTTTATATCTCTAGGCCGAATTTGTAGCTATAGGCCGGACATGTGTTCATCAATTGGTGGTCACTCTTTGTAGGATATTATAGGTTAGCACAAACTCAAAAAAGGCTTGTATAATAAAGCAGAGTCGGTCAAAAGGAACGACTCATGGCTAGGTAGGGCCACGCATGCCCATTAGGTTGCTGTCCAATTATATTGTGTGTGTGTGTATATATATATATATATACAAGGTTTGGTCTCGAGCCAGAATTTTATTTCTACCCTTTAATTTGTTGATTCTTTGGTTTGCCCATTTATTTCACACATGGTCCTTGTTTTGAAAAATATTTGGGTGTGGACTATTTGTAATTTGGCAAGAGACTACGTACAATGCTGTCTTTTGTTCGAAAAAGTTGATTGTGGGATTTTACTTGCGACTGACTTTTTATAAACATGTGCATGTGTGTGTGTTTATGGTAAGTTATTTATTTAATTATGTGTGTGTATTATGAACAATAAGATCCACCAGTAATGGTAAGATGGATGCACCAAAAAATGCATAGAGCAGAATATAAGCATGGCCAAATGGTGGAAAATATTATTGAAGCAATCAGTGAAGTGTGGGTCTACTATGATGGTTGTTTTACGGGAATTAAGTAATTAAAACGATAATTTGTGCATTATCATTAATGAGAAAGGAGACAGAAGACAACAATTCATTTAAAGAAGAAGTAAAGAGATGTGATATTTCATGGGACTTGTACAATCGATTTAATTATTTGATTAGATTGTATGAAGTACGTTATATATCCGTATATATGTCTCCTTATGCGTGCATAGATGGTTTCAGGTCATTAATTTCATCTTTATCATATAAGTACTCCAATACAAGAGCATGGTCTCCATTGCAACCAACTTTTAGTTGAATTAATCAATGCCATAAAGAAAGAAAGAAAAAAAAAAAATCAATGCCATCGAGACTAGGGTTGCTGCCAGGTCCAATTATTTGAATTTTCTTTCAGACAGGGATTGGTGTTGCTTGGCTAGGTCTCATTAATATATATATATATATATATATATATATATATATATATATATATATATCTAAAGAAAGACAATATTTGCACTTCTACTTTTTACTTGTTACACTCCATACCTTCTTTTTTTTTAACAAGGTAGACCTCTAATATGTTCATTAATCTCATATTTTATAATACCATATCTATATATCATTTTCAGTATAAACTTTAATTTTTCTTCCCTTATTTACTTTCTCTATTACATTTTTTTTTTGACAAAAGAGAATTTATTAAACTAAAATTATTAGCTTGGTACTTTCGTGTTTCCTGTACTATTTTTCTAAACTTATTTGGTTATTTTATTATTAAAATACAATATGATACAAAGAGTATAACAGAGCAACAAAAGTTCAAACATCAACTTATATAACAAAGATTGAAGAAAAGTAACCAAAAAAAAAGTTTAAAAAAAAAACCACGTCAAAAAGTAAATTTTGTATTCTACAATTCATTCGAGGCTGGCATTATCTATTAGCTTAATTGGTAGAATGCTCAACTCAAAAAAAAAAAAAAAAAAACCTTAATTAGGATGGAATATTCTGACCAAAATCTTCCGCTTTGAATTTCCGAAAATTCTTACCTAGCCACTATTGACTCTCTCTTTCTCTTCCCCTTTCAAATTAGTAATATTTGCTAAATATTGAATGATACTCATTAACATATACGGAGTACAAGAATTGATTCAATTCCAAAATATTTATTGAACTTTGGAAATCTCTCTCCCTAAAATATATATATATATATAAATTCTTGTTCAACCAAGGTTCCTTGGACAATGTCTTGAGACCGAATCTTCTAGCTAAAAAAATAATTTAGTTTTGACTTCCAGTGAACTCAATGAATAACAGTACGTGTAAGAATTATTACCTTTTTATAAATTTAACAGGGTATTAAGAAAATGTTAGATGTATTTTAATATGACATTTATAGTTATATTTTTTATTTTTTTGGCTTTTATTATTACTTGGTTAGTATAGGTTAAAAAATGTTTGAGTGGTTGCACCAGTTTTAATTTGGGATAGTTATAAATACTGAATAGCCGCCAACCAACAATATTCACTAATTAATGTTCATGAACTATATGTACGTATACACTGACTGGTCAGTGGTGGACGAAGCTCAAGGGCTCTGATGGAGTTTCAGCTGCCAGAAGCAGTATCAAAACCTGCGAGTCCTATTTCACAATACTTCAACAGCTCTGTGTTATCAATCTCCATTCTCGCTGTCCTCGAATTAGAAATCCCAATGGATGACTCCCTAACCACTTCACTCATCAAGGATGTCTTCTTACCCATCAACCCACGCTTTTCCTCCATCATGGTTCTCTCTCTCTCTCTATAGATATATATATATAAAGAAACACACACATATCAATACAAAAATAAATTGGCTTTTCCAAAAATTGTATAAAAATTTACTTTGTTGACAGTTTCTTATAATAGCTATTTTTGGAAAACTCACTTTCATAAAGCAGTTTTTTTTTTTTTTTTTTTTTTTTTTTTTTTTTTTCTATAGTTTTGTGAAAACAGTAATATATTTTTTGAGTTCTTATAAATTAGTTTTTAAGTGACAAACTAAATAGAGCCTTTATAACTGTAAGGTTTACCCTGATACTAAGGTGTCACGCTTTTCTCTCATCATGGTAATGTCTCTTTATACACACACACACACACACACACACACACACACACATATATATATATATATCATTAAGAAAAGGAATTTTATAACCGTTGAGGATATATTTGATTGGATTGCAGGTTGGAGACAAGAATGGAATGAAGAAATGGAAAAGGGTTGAAGTGAAGCTAGAAGATCATGTACATGTCCCCATTTTCCCGGAGGGAATGTCACCAGAGTTGTATGATGAGCATTTGAATGACTACTTAGCAAATATAGCTAAGGATCAACTTCCACAAAGCAGACCATTGTGGGAAATCCACATAGTTAAATACCCAACAAGCAATGCAGCCGAGAATATTATATTTAAGCTTCATCATGCACTTGGGGATGGCTATTCCCTAATGGGTGCTCTTCTTTCTTGCCTACAAAGAGCTGACAATCCTTCTCTTCCCTTGACATTCCCTTCATGTCAATCCAACACCAAACTTAAAGGTAAAGTTAACACCATTTTCAGGTTCGTGCCTCGTGTTCTTGCCGGGATCATCAACACTTCTTTGGATTTTGGATGGAGTCTTTTGAAGAGCACTTGGCTTGAAGATGACTTGACGCCGATCCGATCTGGTGACGGAGTGGAGTTCCGGCCATTGACTGTAACTACTATCATATTCTCTCTTGATCACATCAAAGAGATTAAGGACAACCTTAAAGTGGTAACTAGCAACTTTCTGATCAGTTACATACTTTAATTTAAGTGCTACTATATATATATATGTCTTATTCTTTCTCTAATAATTTGTACTAATTGCGTAATATTCATTTCTAGTAGTGGGACCATCTTAATGTTATTTTCATTAATTACAAACTGTATCAATAAAATATTTGACTTCATATACATATATAATTAATCTACGATACACAAAACAAACAACACTTAATGAAAATCATTCTACCTATACTAAACTATATAAAACACCAATGGATCATTAGGTCAATTGTATAACCTCCTTAGCCTCTCACTCAGAGAGGAAGGGAGTGGTTCGAGCGGTAGGCAATGTGTGTAAGTACCTACAAGAAAAAAAATATATATATATATATATATATATATATATATATATATATATCAATTAAAGTCTGGAATAAAGTTATGTACTATGCTGTAGATTAGTGGTATTTTTTCACTTTTCAAAGTGGAAGTTCGGGCCTTCGAGTCCCCGTAATGACAAAGTTAGTGTATAAGTGTGTTTCATGTGAAGGATGTGCACAACTATATGCAAACTAACTAGCTCATTTAGCTTAATACTATTTGAGGATTAGGCTTTGCCATCCCCCATTAATTTGAATGTAAAGCCAAACAAGTGATGATGAGATATAGAAGTACAACAATATAAGCTAATATTTGATCAAACTCTTCTTCCCAACAGACTATAAATGATGTTATTACTGGAATAATCTTCTTGGGGACTAGACTGTACATGCAATCTGCAGCAAGCCATGATCTAGGCAATAGTACTACACATTCTAGCTCTACTGCGTTGGTGCTGCTCAACACTCGGAGCGTAGGTGGCTACAAGTCCGTCAGTGACATGGTAAAACCCGACGCTGAGATGCCATGGGGGAACCATTTCGCCTTCTTGCACTTGCCGATACCTAATTTAACCGATGATGACTGCTCTTCAAACCCTCTCAACTTTATCCTTAAAGCACATCATCTAATGAAAAGAAAAAAAAACTCTTCGGCTGTTTATCTCACTGGTAGGCTACTTGAAACCATGAGGAAACTTAAAGGTGCTGAGGTACGTACGTCAAATATTAATTATGCTAATAATTACTAGACTATTATCTATGTTTTGTAATTCAGTTGGTATAGATAGTCATATATAGTAATATAGAATTGATGAAAACTTTGGTGAATTTAATTAATTGGTGTCCCAGCAGGCAACGGCTAAGTATGTCCATAGCACTTTGAAGAACTCGAGTATGGCCATTTCGAATATGATCGGGCCGGTGGAACCAATGGCTTTGGCTAATCATCCCATTAGCGGATTGTACTTCACAGTGATTGGAAGTCCACTGGTATACTATACTACTACTACACACCTGATTATTTATTTATTTATTTATTTTTAGGTAATTAACAACTTGTGTTGATGGCATTGCAGAGTTTATGTATAACAATGGTGAGTTACATCGGAAAGCTAAGGGTTGCTGTGAGTGCAGAGAAAGACTACATAGATCCCCTCAAGTTCAACCCATGCATCAACAAGGCCTTTCAGATCATTCATGAAGCAGTAGTCCACAAGTACTCTTCATAATTAAAGCTATAAATGCACTCAAGCTCATATGAATTTCTCTCTATTTTTTGGACTTCATTCACCATTATGGTTTACTACATCATTTTCCAATAAATCATTTTTAATAAATGATATATCTTTCTTTGTTTTGGACGACTCTGTGGTGTGTTGTTTATCATTATGCTTGTAATGTTACCATTAATAGTAATATGAAATTATGAACATTATGTCAATATTAAGTGGCTTGTTTGCATCTTTCCTTAAATTTGAATTGCTTACAATAGAAATTATTGTTTGAATTTTAGGGGAGAAAAAAAAATCGCCATTCAGTTTACCCTCTCAATGGACCAATTCATTGAGAGATGCAATGGAGATGATTTTTTTCCCTAACTACAAGTCATATGTTTATCAATGGTAGGTATACACTTACCAAAATGTAAAAAATAAATAAAAAAATAAAAGGAAATATATATATATATATATATATATATATATATATATATATATATATCTCACTTTGTCAATAAAGGAGACGACTCATAGGTGGGCATGCATACACTAGGTTGCTGTGCCAAATAAAATATAAGCGTTGGTGCTAGCCAGAATTTTATTTCTACCCATTTGTTGATTCTTTTGGTTTGTCCATTAATTATTTCACATACGGGCCTTGTTTTTGTATAAATTAAATTTGAGTCTGGGCTATTTGTTTGAAAAAATATGTCTGAGAGATTTTGCTTGCCAAGAATTTTGGGGAGCTTCTATTACTGGTTAGAGCTAATAATATAAAGAAATTAAAATTTTAAATAAAAAACAATACACAATGAAATAAAAAAATTTAGAACCTTTTATTGATCTGGGGCTTTAGGCAACCGCCTAAGCCTCCTGCCCCGCCTTCACAATATTAAGGGCTTGTTTGACCCTTGTCTTAAGTTTGAATGGTATTCTTGAGTAAATAAAAGAAGACAATTTAAATTCTTGCTTGAATTTTTCCGAAAAAAATAATGTCGTCTATATATATAGTACTTGAGCCTATAGGACATCACACATGTTCATCAATGGGTGGTATACATTGACAAAAAAGTAAAAAAAAAATAAAAAAAAAATAAAATAGAAGTAAAAGTAAAAAAGAAGTATATGTCATAGAGCAAAGTACTGATCACTTTGTCAGTAAAGGAAACGACTCATTGGAGGCCATGCATACACTAGGTTGCTGTGCAAAATATATATTTGTTGGTGCAAGCCAGAATTTTTTTTTTCTACCCATTGCTTGATTATTTGGTTTGTCCATTAATATTAATTATTTCACACATAGCCCTTGTTTTTGTATAAAACTTGAGTATGATAATTTAGGAGAAAGTCTTTAATACCCTCGGATAATACGGAGATAGAATAAATTAAGAATGGGCAAATTGGTGATTATTGAAGCAATCACTATACTGTGGGATGTGTGAACCAGAGAATTGTATGAGAGCAAGACTTTGAGCAACAATAATGAATGATGGGATATTATTAGAAATTTTGTGGGGCCATATTTAAAATTTTCAAAAAAATAGAGACATTTTAAAAATTTTCACAAAATCTATAAGTAATTTTGTAAATAAAAAATATTTTAGTGGAGGCCCCACTGGGCCCCTCATAGGTCCATGCCTGGATTTGACATCATAATGATATCATAATATGCTTAACGTCATGCCGACGTGAGCTTCATACTCATATAAAATTAGTTAGATTTATTAAATTGTCAGACTATCTATTATTATTCTTACTATAAATTAAATTCGACTAATTTTATATAAGGAAAGACTAATGTCATTAATTATGACATTAGGAATATTAATGAAAAGATGATGACATACATTAGATCTTACTACTTACATAAATTAATCGAAATTGTTCGATTTTGAACTTACTAATGGTATTAAGACATCAGGGATATGATGATATGATAATAATGTCAGACCTTACTTACATAAATTAATGACATGATAATAATGTCAGACCTTACTCACATAAATTAGTCAGAATTGTTCGACTTTTGAACTCCAAATCATTACTCAAATGTAACTCAAGAATTAATTATGGTAAAAAAAAGTCTTGAAAAGTCTCGTTTTTCAACTATCTTATTTTATTAAGAAAAGTTAATGTTAGCGTACAACATTTATATGACGAGTTGGAGTTGTGGGGGATTCAAACACAATCACACCTGTTCAAAAAGTTAGACGCTCTACCAACTAGGCGACTAGATAACACTCTTCCTTTTCAATTATTCAACTATATTTTTTTTTCGGTAATTAAATTATTCAAACTATTTTATTTTACTAACAAAAGTTAATTCCAACGAGCAACATTTTTATGTATAGATAGATGCAATAATAAGGTGGTGGAGGAAGGCAGTGATAGAAGTCTGTGGTAGTGGCAGAGGCGGTAGTGGAAGTCAGTAACGGTAATGGTGGTGGAAGGCGGTGGCAATAGCGAGGTGGCGGTGGAAGGCTGTGGACGCGGTGACAGTGGTGGTTGTGACAGTGACGGTGGTGGAAGACAACAATGGTGTAGGTGGTGGTGGTGACAATTGAGGAGGTAATGATGACAGGGGTGGTGGCAATGACGATGGTGGTGGTTAAATGTGATAGTGGTGGAAGGTGGTGGCATTGGTGGACGTCTGTGGTGGTGGTGGCGATAAGGGAGGGGGTAGTGGTGGAAGGCAGTGGAGACGGCGATGGTATGGCGGTTGAAGGCGACAACAATTTTGGCGGTGGCAATGATAGTGGTGGAATGCAATGGAGGTGGCGTTGGTGAAATGCAGAGGTGGTTGTGGTGGAAGGTGGTGAGGGGGAAGACAATGGTGTTGGTGGTGGTTTTTGAACTTGGAACATGAGGAATTTTTGAAAAGTTTATTTTTTGAAAAAAAAAAAGATTACTGGGGAATGGAATGGTCATTCCATAAATATAGTTGTGAAATGAATTTTCATTTCAATGGAATAATCATTCTCACTTTAAATTGCATACCAAACAAAAAAATTTGTTGTAATAAGTATCTCATTTCATTCCATTCCTCACACCAAATGCAGAATTAAAGTTTTGCTATTACAGATTCTATTCTAAAATTGATGTCAGGGAAAAATAAATAAATAAATAATAGAACTGGGTTATTAATAATATATAAACAATATTATAAGAGATGATGAAAAAATTAAAAGTAATGAGCAATTGCAACCATTAGATGCATTGAGGTGGAGCCCGTACTCTCACCTCATTGTATCCAAGAGATGCAAATAATTCGGCTCATAATTTCTGTCTATTTCATTGGTCTAAAAATAATTTTTCATGATATATATATATATATATATATATATATTTGAAAACAGGAACTCCCCTAGGCAGGGCCCCTTAGGGACCCACCCCAAGTTACAAACCTGTGCCAGGTGCACCGGCCCCTCAACACGCGCAGCAGTCAATCGAGAGGAATAGATGGCTTGGGAAGAGTCGAACACCGACCATTTCAAACCTGCCTTCAAGCTCCAACCATCACAGCTATGCCCCCGGGGGCTATATATATATATATACACACACACACACACACACATACACACACATATATTATGAATAAATATCAAACTGAATTTGTGTGTTTCTTTTGCCAATTGGAAAAATAAAAAAGTATTCAAAATAATGGCTGCAGTGAAAATTAATAGCCATATCCGCCTTTAATTCATTAAAATTGTTTATTCCCAAAGACGAAGCAACTGAAAATATACAATAATAAAAGTACATGGAGGGCCTTGGGCCAGAACAAGTATTGGGCAACAACAAGAACACCCCATTTTGGCCACAAAGAAAACTCTCAACATAACAAGCCCTTTAATTCATTCATGTCAAGGCATTTGTAAGAGAAAAATAATTTTTGAAGTGAATAATGAGGCCCAATAACTTAACGGAAATAACTTATAAACTGGACTTTAAGATGGATAAAAAGTAAATAAATAATTAATTAGGTGAAATTTTGTAAAATATGCATTGAAATGACCTTTTAGAAAAGTTGAAGGGCCTGCTGCCTATAAAGGTAAAAAGCAGAGGGGGCAAAAATGGAGGTCTCTGTGACTCGACCTGATGATTGGCATTTGCCATCTTCATCTTCGGGATGACAGCAACCTTCTTGAAGCTGTGGTCTCTCCTCAAAAATTCCTATGCAACTTTCCTATTTTTGTTAATGATTTACGCTCTGTAGAGTTTACTTTTCTTGCCGAATTTGGTTAATGTGCTGTGAATGGATATGCTTCTACTTTATTTGAAAATAGTATATAGCCATGTCGGAAGGGGATTAATACCCATCACTCCTCTTATGAATGTGACGATTATTTACTTGACAGATACTACGAGTCCAAATGAGATCAAATTTGGTAGTGAGATGAGACCCTCTGACGATTGTAACTTGGAAACCTGTTAGTTGTTTATCATTCTAAAAGATAATTGCCTGTTACACCCACCTAAAGTTTCAAGTATCCCAATTGCATGAACAAATTTGTTATTTAGGCTTTCTGTTGCATGTTATGTGTCTTATGTTAGTCTTGTTGTTTATAAATGCACAATCACAACAAATGACTATAATCCCAAAACTTGACTAATTAGGCATTTATTCTTGGGATATTATCATGTTTTAAATCTTACATCTCATATCTGAAAATATTTGTTTACAGCTGCATGTTGATTTAATGAAACTATTTTGACAACATATTATTCCAGGACCTTTACTGCTGATATTCATCTTACGTTTGATAAAGCTATACGTACGGGATGTTCAAATTTTAAATAACTAATCTCCTATACGTGCAAAAATTTCTGAAACTTGCAACACAAATCGATTAGTCATGAATAGTTAATTTGCGTGTGGAGTCCAATTTGTTAGTTATTGATTTAGTTCATGACATGATTTCAAGTTAGTTATTGGCATTTGTGCAACATAGCAAACCTTTATCTACTAGAGTGAGTTGCTGGTGATTTTCCTGTCGTCCTATTTCATAATGTGTGGTTAGAGAAAATGGTGGATGATGTAACAGTAGGGAGTGGGGTTGTTTTTGCTGTCAAGTTTTACCTTGTTGGGGCTACAATGAATTCCCAAGATGGTGTTACAGATCTTTTTGGCAAGTGTTTTCTGCTCTTGAGGAGATGGTCGAGCAGAATATGCCTCTCCTAGTAATTTCACCAATTTGAATGAACTAATAAAGAGCTACATTATTA